CCTCATAAGCAAAAGATATTCCGTAGCAGTTAACATCAACATTTCCCAAGCTGTGTATCGCGAATTCCTGGCGATCTCAATGAGCTCGTGTTAATCGTTAATTATGTAATTTAGTACGTGTGCGTACTTTAACGCAGCCTCTCGTATATTTGCGTAAAATTACGTTCTTTTAAACGAATAACGATAACGTGGATTCTAGAATTTATTTTTTTTATCAATAAAATTTTATAAGACAAATGTAAAAACTGTGTAAATATATATGTACGATATGTGTAATTAAAATAATTAAATAATTAAAATAATTAAAAGAGAGAAACTAATCTAAATCTAAAGAATCAAAATCTAAAGAAAGCTTGGAAATTACCGAGTCTCGAGATGATATTGTGGATATCGTAAAAAGCATAAGAAAAATACACGACATTCACAGAAGTGATTGTGCACATTGTTTCGTGTGCGAGGAAAAGTAAAGAGAAATTTCCAACTTTCTTCATCTTTGGACCATCATTGCAATTATTGAAATGTTCAAAGTGAGGAAAAAATATGAACCGCGTAAACGACACGTTTTTACACTAATATAATCGTTGTGACGTCGAATGACGTGGATGACGTGGAGGTTTTCCTTTTACGCGGAATCATCAAAAGCGAAATAAATATATGTAAACAGAGGGTGCTTCATCCCGATTGATTCGTGAGAACGTTAGAAGGTTTCGTTTCCCCATAAATGCGCGAGCATTTATATTTAATCGCAGCGATCATTCAGACTCGGCATAATATAACATCGTCTCCTTCCCCCCTCCCCTTCTTAATTTCGCCTCGCTATACCTAATAGCTGTCATATCAGTTCCGCTTCGGATCAAGAACAACCGATGTCATTCTGTGACGTGAATATTGAGGCAATTTGTCAGATATAAGGTATTCATCATTCAAATATTTTATCTTTAAATTTAAAATGTTTTTAAAAATAATTAGCTATCATTTAATTTTATACTTTTAGTAGAGCTCGTATAGCTTAAATTTAGATATTATGTAAAATATTACAAAAAACTGCAAAAAAATAAAAAAAATTATTGTGAGATATTAATTAATTAATTAATTTTTTATTTATTTATTTTACTTTTATTTATTTATTTTATATTTATTTATTTTAAGTCAGTGAACGAGAAATATTAATGTTGAAAATTTGTAAAATACAGTAGCTTAATATTCGCTAAAGAATTTTTCGTTGCGATAAAGAATTGATTGGAAAGTTACTCGATGAGATGTACTCTGGCACATCTTGTATAACAACCACGAAGGTTAAAGCCGGCAAGAAACGATCTTTGTATAACATAAAAAATCGTAGATCACGCAACGTGGATCATGTGCTTCGCGACGAGACGCGCCCGAACATGCGATCGTCGCCGATCAAAGTAGCGATGTGCATTTAGATGCGTTTGCACACGCGTTTCCTACATTACGTCGGGACGAATACGCGGTGGCAGTTGCATAATTATCATTTCGAGCAATACCGTGCTACTACGAAACTGCTGCGAACGTGTTTACCGATTACGTAAGAGCGCAATTTCGCGCGATTGTCGCGCTTTTTGAAATAGAAAAAATATTTCTCACCTTTTTTTTATCGCACACTCCGTAATAGACGCATCAGGTGGTATCGTTAATTCTTTTTTTTTCTCAATATACATTTCGCGATATACATTTTTTCTCTTTCTCTCTCTTTCTCCTTCGTTATTTTTTGTCGTTTTCCGCAGCTTTTGACTGTAAAACATTTTATTCGCATCTTTTGTAAATTAATTAAAATAGAGTTCCATATAATTCTACACAAAAATAATAGAATTTTCTATATATATTTATAACTTATTTATATTTATATAGAGCGTTGAGAAAATTTTGGAAAAATTTACCTGATATATTAAGCAGCACAAAACGATGTTCTAATAATATAACGTTTTTTTTCAAGGTCACGGCTATTATTTAATGTTTAGACAGTGATACGTCTTAGTCAGCCGAAACAAACAAATGACGCCAGATTTAATTACTACGATACGATATAATTGTCGCGCTCCGATGATGCGAAACGTCAACTTTGATTACTCTGACGTCGGCGAGTGACGTCTCGTCGAGCGATACGGTACGGAGGTTAGGGCAACACTCCTATCGTCCGCGTTAAATTTTCATGTTTATAATCCGCGTATAATTTTCATATTTCGCGGAGACGAATCGAAATGCGATCGCGACATTCGCGAGCGTACGAGGACGACGTACGAGACGAAAGGGAAAGAAAGAGAGAGATAAATAGATGGATAGACAGAAGACGGACTTACCTTCTCTTTCGCTCTGCCTGCATGTTTTTGCACTGTCTTCGCGATTAACGCGCCCTTGCTCTCGGCCATGATGCTCCTTGTAACGTCAGTTGTGGAGTGCAAGAGTCCCGAAAGGAAAAAACCAGCGAAGCACTTAAACTCTCTCAACTCACGGTTCGCAGCTTTGCGCAGGGGAGGGGAGGTAGCGGCGCACCGACGAACGAACCAGACTACACGTACCGAAGCGCGGAGAGACACTGAGCGCGCGACAGCGCGCAGACCCATGCGTCGCTGGCGGCCATATTGGCGCATGCGCGATGGCCGTGCGTCGTCTCCACTTGCGCCCACTTCAACGCGCTCGATTACGTCCTTGCGTTCCGGATGGATAATTGCGTGCTACAATTTACAAATATATTAAATTAAAAGGAAATTAAATTTTTATACCTTAAATTACACTTTTTGTGTAACTTGCAAATTCGCAATATTATATATATTTCAAAAAATACAATATAAAAATAAGTAGCAAATCTGTGGTGGGAGAAATTCTATGACCAAATATACAAATAATTAATTTAAAATAACAAAGATTTTCATCTTCTTGTTGAAAAAAATAACTTACGTAAAAATGGATAAGGAAAAGATTCACATCTTACGTCGAAACAAGTGAAAAAATTAAGATTTAGTCATCGATATTGGATATACACTATTATTGATTTGTGTAAATGTTTTTATTAATAAATTATCTTTTCTTATTTTGTATGATGAGGATTGCTCGAAATAAACAACCGTTATGATAAAAATTCATTTTAACAACGGAACAGACAGACAATACGCAGATATATATAATGTAATATATCTGGATAATAGATGATAGACAAATTTTTTTTTTCCTTACATAAATGGTCTATCCAAAATCGCAATTGACAAAAGTGTTATATGTGTATGTGTGTCGCGGAGCGCGCGGAATGTGTTCTTAATTATTTATATAATTTAAATTCTTAATTATTTATAATTTAACTCTTTTAATACGCTTCCGCGCGAGCCGCAATTACAAATTGCAGATTGGAAATTTACAGATTTGGACCTGTACATGTTCACATATACTCATTGTACCTAATATAAATTTGCTTTTAGTCTTGGAAAAATTGGATAAGGCCATAACCAAACTGGCGACAAGAAGGCGCCAGGTCCTCGGTACTACCGTAATTATTATTATTTTTCTTATAAAACTGATCCTCTCTCCTCTCGCAGTTTCATTCACCACCCATCCACTCTTACATAATTATGTAGTTAATTGGTTGTCCTCTGTCCAGTCTACATTTGTCGCAATCTCACCATTAACTACATCGTCCGATCAATTCTTTTATTTTGCGCCTGTTTCTCTCTTTCGTTAAATGTTTCTTTTCGCATTTTCCTTTTATTTTTGTCTTAAGTCTAATTTTGCGTTTCTGACTTTAGTACAATTCACAAAAGTGCGAAAGCGCAAGTATAAATATTTTATTTCTTAAAATCATAGTCGCATAATTTAATGTTAATCATAATATTGATGAATCTCCATTACCTGCATTAACATCTTCATACTTCATCACGAAATGTATCAGCGCAATGGTAACTTCAGAGACAGAAATTAAAGGTTAATCATTTGACGCACACGATGTTGACTTTGTTTCCTTAGTAATTCGTTCCAAAGACTGAGGCCAGTTGCACAGTTATGTATACATAAAAATTAATCACATTATTTCAATCAACATAATTATACTTTGGCATACACAGGATGTTTTAGAATTATCGTATCCCTTTTCGGTTTGATAAAAATCACATCTCGCTTTTTTTAGAACAATAATTTACTAAAAATTTATATTACTTGCATCACGGATTTTTCGATCTTCGATATAAATACAATATTTCAATAATTAATAATTATTTATTCGACATTAAATTTTCATTAGAAAGAAACGTTTGCTTAAAATGAATAAAGGATATCTATTCATGATAGAATGTATGAATAAAAGAAAATACGATAGTTCTGTATATGTGTATTGTATGTGATGCCCTATATACATATACATAACAAAAAAAAAAAAGAGAAAAAAAAGATCGAGTTATATAACTGTATAATTATCTTTAAAAGTGGGAGAATATTATAAATTGTAATAATAATCAAATCGATTTTATATTATAAAGGAGCAAAACTTTTACGCAATGCCCGAGAGTAAATAACAATAATCTTAACAGCCGTGCATTGAGCCGTTATGCAATCACCATTGTATATCAGATATTGTATAGAGAACATCTGGAACTTAAAGCTTATTATAGAAAAAAATCTAAGTTAGGGTTAAGGATAACACAGTGTCCGCGTTCACGCGCAACGCTCAACACATTGATCGAGGTGTATTGGAGAATTTTATATCTGGGTATAAACGATTTAACTCTCTCTCTCTCTCGCTCGCTCGCTCTTCTGTCATCGGAATCACGCGATTGAAAACAATAATAAATATTATGATATTATTTCCTATTTGCTATCTCCTCTTCGCCATTGATATCGGATCTCGCGATATCTGTAGCGGATTTGTAGCTTAAAACATCTTCGCGAAAAATGCGTATCTTCGCCATCGATTACAGCGATAGTCCTGTTTTATTTTATAACATATTTTTCCCCATCCCTTCGTCGGATATATACGCTCACATATACGAGCAACATATATTTCTCTCTCTTTATTTTCTGTCCCAAAAATCACAGAGGCATATAATGCACCTCGATGTATGGTGTAAACCTGTACAAAAGTTGTTCCTCGTTTACTCTATATACTTATTCACGGTACAATAATAATGTATTTAAAATGTAACTTATGTAACCTTAGCACTGATTAACGAGATGACCGCATTCCAGCGTGACCAGCCTTTGGCCGACTGGAGCTAACAGACAAGATGCTCCTTCAAGTGTAAAACTCCTGCTACCTCCTGCTCTCTATTTTTGTCTCTTTCACACGCACATACACACACCCATATTTTCTCGTTCTCTCACTATCATTCTCGCCCTCTTTCTCTCATACTTTCTCTCTTTGAATCATTTAATATTCCGATCTTCCGTTCATTCTATGCAGCACGACTAATACTCTAACTATATACTCTATATAAAATATCGTTAGTATAACTAAAACTGTGCTGTGTCCAGCTGGAATGCAGCCCTATTTTTATGCCATCATTATCTATTTCTCTCTTTTTCTTCTTTATATTTTTCATTCACATGCCGCTTCTATCATATGGTAAATCTTTTGTTGTTACGCAATTTCCTCACAATCAATGATTTACTGATAAATTCACATCACTAACTGTAGTCTGTCATTGGTCGGTCGATTAGTTTGATTCCCAGCTGTTCACTCGGCGTCGTTTATTGTTATTATTTATACGAATTTTACACTCATTTAACAGTGCTGGAGTCTTGCCTCCCATCTTAATCATTCAAGTTCTCCCCTCTATCTTCAATTTTTCTTTTCTTTCCTCGAACAGGAGACTCTTCTGCACAAAATTGAATCCATATTGTTATAAAAAGAAAAATAGGAACTTGTTTATAAAAAATAAGTGGGAAAAATATAAAGGGAAAGATCATATATATCTTGAAGCTGCTTTATATCGATATTCTTTAGAGTTATCCAAGATAATTCGAAAAATTCTAAATAAAAAAATAAACAATAAGAATTATGATTGAGAAGCATACCTTCTTCTTCTTCCTGTTCGTCATCTTCATTATCTTCATCATCATCCTCTTCTTCTTCCTCTTCCATGTAATCTTCCTCATCAGTATCCTATATATATATATCAATATATTTATTTTCAATATTCATTATCAATATATTTATTTTTCTTTTCTTAAAAAACTAGGTCATTGTACTACAATTTGTGATATATTTATACAAATTCGTAATTATATTATGGACAATGAATATTTAACAAGTGAAAAATCTCTATGAATATTCTGTTGTTTGAGTTATAAACATTTTTGTATTATAGTTAAATGCATCATTTAAAATATGAAGTAAACTAAAAGAACTCACTCCAAGTTTTCCCGAATAGACCATATCTAACCCTGGTTCATCATTTAAGAAATCATCGTCTTCTTCATCTGAAACTGAAATTTTGATATATCTGTTATTATTACCTGTGCATGAAATTTATTTCACATCGACATAATTTATTTCATCGTTAATATACATTTCTATTTATAATCTAATTTTTATTTAATTATTGTTATAATTAAATTCTCGACCAACCTTCATCGCTGTCTTCTTCATTGTCCACCCCATCTCCATCTTCGTTTCCATTGACTTCATCATCCTCGCCTTCACTGTCAACTTCACAATCATCAGCATCAAATCTATTTACAGACAAATAATTAATTGGTTTAAGATAATAAAACAAAATAACAAAGCAAATTCAAATATGTAAATATATTTACATACCCATCAAGATATCGTAGACTGGGAATAAGATTGAAAACTCTTTCCCTATAATTGTCCATATTTGTCACCTCATTGTTGAACAGATCCAGACTCTTCAGATTCTTAAATTCTTTCTAAAATACAAAATAATTTTATATTAGTGAATTTGACTTGGTAATAAGTAAATATTTATTAACAAGTAAGTAATATAATAAATATGTAAATATATAATAATAATAAATATTTATTAATAAGTAAATATTCTTCAATATTTGTGACTGTGAGTGTAAAAACTTACCAATGGTTGTAACGTATCAAGATCTTTGATTTTGTTTCCACTTAGATTCAGATGAGTTAATTTGGGGCTCGAATCAAGTAAATTTAAACCACCCGAAATTCGATTGTCGCTCAACTCCAACTGCACAATACAAAGACAATTGTGTCTTATTAAATTATGCTTTGATACTTATACATTTTTCCTCCAATAATTGATAGAAAATTTGTATGCATTACAAATTTACTTCAAAATGAAAAATCAATATTTTGATCAATTATTTTTTTGGAATATTTTACAATCCAAATATATATACCTTTTTAAGACTGGACAACTCTGGGAAGCCTTTTAGACTGGTAAGACCCACATTGATGAGACTCAGTGACTCCAGGGCGCTGAATTCATTTGTCAGGCCCACAATGTGTGTACTCCGACAGTTGTCAAGAACAAGTTCTTTGATCTATAAAGAAACATAAAGCGTGCATATTATCAGACCGTTTATATCAACAAGAAAATCAAGAAAATATCAAAGAAGAAAACTGAATTTTAATATAAATGTCAGAAGACTGCATGCTAGTGTCACAAGGTGCATAAAGAAGTAAAATACGTCATGTGATTTTTTTAAGGATTAATATCAAGTCCGAAAATAAAAACGCGTGGTTGGAGTATGTCAAATGTCTTTCTCTCCTCCCTCCTCCTCTCTCTAAATTAATAAGAAATGTTAAATGTGCTGAATAAAAAATAATAGTCATTATTTCGAGGCATTGATATTTTAGACTACATAAATGTTAAGGTGCGCATTAAATCGATTGAAATCATGCTCGGGTCGTGGAGCGCCGTGGAATTGTGCGCATTGCGCGCGGTTTCGCCGAGGAAAGAGAGGAAGACAAATGGCTGAAATGACGGGCGTTCGCGGTCGAAAAAGTCGGCCGGCGTCCTCCGCTAAAATTCAAACGAGCGATAAGCTTTCGCGGGAGATGGGCTATTTTATTGATCGGAGAAAGAGAAGGGCGAGAGGGTGAGAGTGGAGTCGGATAGAAAACAGAGGCGTTACAGGGGGGCGGAAGGATGGCGGGGGGAGGGGGAGGCGCAGATGAGGGAGGCACGGAAGATAGACGGCAGAGGAGGTGGGAGGCGGGAGGGGGGAGAACGGGGGGGAGAGGCGAGGAGTGACGGTAAGCGGAGTGCGAGCCGCGTCTTGTTTAGCGGCATCGGAAAAGCCGGTGAGCGACAAGCACGGACTGCGGCACGCGACACCGAGTACGAGGGGTGGGGGAAGTTGGCTATCATCGATACCGGAAGTATCGATGCCTGAATATTATGTCACATCCGCGTTTTCCCGTGGACAATTCGAAATGACGTTGGGACTTTGCGCACGTGTGTGTGTGTCACGATGCCCCTTTCTCAAGTGGAGATTATCTCGTCGATTTTTTTTATCGAATCTCGACATTTTTAGCAACGTTATTTCCTTGATTGCGAATATTAATGTATATCGTACTTTATGCTTGATTTTTTTGTATGTATATCGATAATAATAATCTGCGAGTCAAATGGGATTTTGCGCATTTGCTGACGATGATAATCCATTGTGTATCGTCCTTGTCACTTGTAACAATTGGAAAGAATAAGTGACGCAGTGGATGCATTCTTATACTTAATTTGCAAATTATTTTCACGAGACCTGAGTTAAATTTGAAGAGCACGCGTGTGTTCCGTTTATTTTAAAATTCCCTGATCGATTTAATTTTCGCAGTTAAATTACTTTTCCCGCTTCGCGTCCTATATTTCTCACCTAGATTTCTTATATACACTCATGTTTATGCGACGAACCAGATTGATCATGCTTCGTGTTGCACCAAATGACAGCATTACGAAAAGTTATAGGAGCGGATCAATGACATTCATGAATGAAACAGAATTTTATAATGCTAAAATTTTTTGATATTTAAAAAAATGTCAAATTATTGTGTCTCATATATATTTTCCTAATAAAAATAGATACTTAATAATTCCAAAATCTCCAAAGATTGCTATTTGCGCTTGAATTTTAGCTTTTTTATCAAGATGCGCATTTTTCTATATTCTTTTTTAAATTCAGACAATGATTTTGAATTTACATTTAATTTACATCTGATTATCAGCGATATAAAAAGATATCTTGAATTTTAACAAAATATTGCAGCCATATATGCTCCTAAATAATACGACACTGTTGCATCCAAGATGCATTGCAAGGCAACGCGGGTGGTCAACGCAGAGGGGGTAAAGTTTCCAAGCCGTAATATTCAGAAATCGATTCGCGATCGTAACAATAATCGCATAAATTTCAAACCTGTCACACAAACTTGTACATTAAGAAGAAAAAAAAAAGATTTATATAACACGATGACGTTAAAAAACGAGCTTTCTCCTTTTTTCGATACAAAAAAAAGCTTGCAAAATTGTTCGATCCATCACATCCGAATTTAACAAGCGGAATAATTTCAAGTTTCCGAGGCGATTAAAAATTTATCATTTTCCAAATTTGCGCCGCAAAGCGTTAGTGCCATCTAAACGCCACACCCTAGCTACGGCTCTGCGAACGCCCACGCACGCACGCACGCACGCAGGCAGATCTACAGACGGACGCGGCGATGCACCTGAGAAAGTCGGGCGATTCCGATTAGCATCAGCTGGATAAGCAACTCGACTCGGACTCCAAGTGACGTGACATCTCGCGTCGCTGGGGGGGGGAGGAGAAAAAATTCTCTCGCGGCCGCGCGCGCGGAAGAGTGCGTACGTGCGTGTCACTCGAGCGGCGATCGACCGAAATCAGCCGGCAGAGTGGACTCGTCCAACATGGCGGTGCCGATGATTAGCGACGCGTCGTCGTGTCGTGGCACGCAACTACGCACTCTACGCACGCTACGCGCGCGCGAGCCGGCGTCTACTCGGGAGACCTACGTCGGAGAGCCCCCGGTTCGTTCGCCGTGCGTAGTCCTCCGGGGAAACGCGGCGGAAACATCCCGGCCGCACGTCGCGATGCAATGGCGACGTCCAGCTGCCGCGTGCACGCGCCTCTCTCATGGCGGCGAGCGCGCGCGCTGCCACTCATTTACATAACGCGGCTGCTGACGCGCGCGCAACTCGCTTTTTCGCGCGATCCGTCCGTCCGCGTTTCCGCACCGGATCGGTGGCGACGCCTCGACGCTAAAAAATATATTAATCGAGTAAACATATGTCGCGTTATTTTTCTCCATACGCGGGATACGCGTAATGATTTCTCTAACCGAAATAGGAAACACGTATACAAAGATCGACCTCTGTCTCTCGTCCGACAGAATTATTTGATGTTATCGCCGATTGAAATTTGTTCATTTCTTCTCTGACATCGGTTTGTAGCGTCATAAAAGAGCGACAACTTTCTTCCAGACGAAACCCGTTTCGTGATTTGCATCATCACGTTTCACATCATCGCTATGCCAACAAGTGTAATATTTAGCACGCGTCAAAATATGACAAAATATGAATAATCAAATTATTGAGGAAACGGAAACTCATTTTTAAATCGATAGATGTTATAATTGAAAATTTTATCTAAAAACACCTCATATTTCATAGGAAAAAAATCTTAAAAGTTTAAAAATACATGTACGAAAATTATGAAACATCATTACATTCTAAAATTGAAGAATATTTTCTAAAAATATTTAAAAAAATTTAAAATATTTTAACAGAACAATTATAAATTCCTATGTGAATTGAATGATTATACGTTAAGTATTCTGAAATTTCACAAATCATCTCCGTCAATCATCCGTCTATTTACAAGACATCTGGCAATATATTGTAATATTAGGACGATTATCGTTCTTTCCACAGTGATGTTTAATTAATAAAAATGTCTCATAATGTGATTTGTGGAAAATTCACTGTCAAAGTATTTTATCGGTCCTAATCATATTTTGTAATATCGATGTCCGATTTCTCTATTACATTTCGTTACACGAATAATTCTACGAATATTACACAGAGAGATAATTGATTCAATTTTGTAAATTTGCTTCAAAAATATTCTGTAGATAGACTTCCATTTAATTAATTCATTGCAGCAATGTCACGAGTACTTTTACACAATTAATTCGTGAAATAATTATAAGGAGATATAATCATTCACTAATTTATTACATTTATAGCCTAAACAAATTAATCTCTAAATGGTACGATTAAATTCCAAATATCGACATGATTTTTTAATATACATAATAGCATAAAATTCCTCTTCAAACACATTAAGATTAGTATTCATTTGAGTAATTTAATATATATACAAGTTTTATCATTTCATTGCTGCATTTTTAGAAGAAAATTTGTAATATTTTTTTAAATAAAAACTAAAAGATGTAAATTTACTCTAAATATGCTCATTCTCAAATTCTAGAAAAATTAAATTCAAACTAGATCACAATTCTTGGGGACACCTACTAGTGTTCGCAAGTGTGCAAGTACGAGTATAGATGTCGAAAGGAAAATATTCCACATGGAATTGCGATTATCTATATTCATAACATGTCTGTAATCTTGTTTAACGTACTTTATAACTCAACAGACAGTTCAAATCAAATCACACTCGACGTTTATTGACGCGGAGAAAAAAAAAATCGGGGACAAACGAAAAATAAATCTGCCTTCATTTATATGATAAATCCAACGATTCGGGGAAAAAGGGAAAAAGTGAATCGGCTCGATCAATCGTCCGCGGATAAGGTCGGCCACGAGACGTCGTTGGTCGTCGGACTTTATCCACCATTAATCAACAGTGCGTATGCACTCGTTGGACGACGCGCCCAATCGCGGTTCGAACGCGCGTGCCTTCTCTCCAGAAGAAGAGGAAGAGAGAGAAAAAAAGAACAAAAAAAGAAAGAAAAATGGCAATTCCTCGCCGCGAAATATCGAAACGCGCGTATCTCGTGGCCTGCGTGGCACGATAAGAGGAGCGCGCGCGTCCGATACGCGACACGCACGCGACGCGGAGCAACGTAGGCGCTACGCACTATCCGAGTTTTTCGACGGACGCGACGATCTCGCGCGTCCCCGATCCCGTCCCGAATTTCTCGGACGCCGGAAGCGACGCCGATCGCTCGCGCGCGATCACTTCCGAGGGCGATTTCGCCGCCTCTCGCGACAGCAACGATGCGAAATGAAGCGAAGTAGAGCGGCAAGTAGCCAGTATGGATAGATTACACGGGGGACGAGGGGGGGGAGGGAAGAGGGAGAAATGGAGCGCGTTCCGAAAAGCGTGCCGCGTGGAAACTACGCTTTTCTCCTCTCCTTTTTCTTCATCCGACCGCGAGAAAAAGGTTGGAGAACGAGAGCGAGCGGACAAAAGCGCGAGGGAAAAGGAGAAACGTGGAGGCCTTTCGGAGCGCCATGCTCGTGGCTCGTTCGCGGCCATGCGTCGTCGTCGGGATGCATATGCCATCCTCCCGGTCGGAGGCGATCCCGTGAGCGGGCACGGGACAGCCACGCGGTCGACCGTCAGAACGGAATGTCGGCGGCGGTCGCGAGGGAATTGGAGAGAGAGAGAGAGAGGGAGAGAAAGACGGAAGTGCGGCATGCCGCATTATTAGCGAATGCGTGGTGTTTTGCCGCCCGCTAAAGCGCGAGGCGACACGACGACCACGATGACGACGAATCTGTCTTCTTTCTCTCCCTCTCCCTCCGCCTCTCCCTCGTTCCATCGAGAGCCGATAGCGCGTTCGACATGATTCGACATGGTTCAACACTGTTCGAGCACGCCTCGCAGGGCACCCAGGTAGTAACAACGACGCACGATCGTTTCGTGACGTACGCGCCTTGTAAATCATGCTCGGTCCTACGCGAGGAATAGAGAAGCGCGTGCTGGTCCGAGACGAGCGGGGAAGTAAGAATCGGAGAGAAATACGCGCGCACGGGAAGAGCGAGGGGAAAGGAAGCGAGAGGTAGAGGTTGTAGGAGTAGCGCAAAATTTATCTGAGGGTTGCCTTACGTCGCCGGACTTCTTGCCCCGCTTCTCGAGTTCTATCCGCTTCTCCATGGCCGGCAGTCAGAGTTCCCGATCGCTCGTTCTTGCTTCGCGCACACCGTCCCCTCCGCCTCGCTGCGTCGCAACACCACCAACTACGTGTGCCAGCAACCTTGCTCCTTCTCTCTCTCTCTCTCTCTCTCCTCTCGGGAATATGACGGACGGACACGGCCGAACCACGATCGGTCACCGGGTGCGCGGACAGGGATGCCACCGTCGTGCTGCCCGTGCGTTGCGTCGGTCCCTCTGGCGTCCGTGAGTCGCGCGCGTCGAGAAAGAATAGACGAGAAGCCAAACTCTGCGGTTCGATTCCTCCTCCCGGTATCCAAAGCCCTTACGCGCCGCGTCTCTCTACGTGTCTCCACGGATCCGACTCGCCGGACTGTGTGCGGTGTGTCCTCTCCGCTCCCCTCCCCTCCCTTCCCATCCCCGGTCGCCCCCCTCCTCGCCTCTCCGCGCTCTCTTCACGCACAACACAACACAAGCCGCACCGGAGGCGGGAAACGAGACATATGTCGGGCGCTACTTTCGAAGCGGCCAATCCGGACGGTCGCTCGCCGATGCCGCCGACTATCGGCAACGTCGTAAAACAATCACGAGGCGCGCCGCTTTTCGGCGAGTTTAAATATGGCCTTAGCGCGACATCGTTGTTCGACAATATTGATTCGCGAGATTCGTTAACTTCAGACGCTCGCGTCTCCTAATGTCTATGAACTTCATTTAAATCAACCACCGAATGGTTTCTCTCAATCTATATATTTGGAAAGTCTTCATTTTGATGTTTTCCACTTCCGGGCATTTTCGAGCCAAGCGCATGGTGGTCTAGGTATTCGCGAATCGTGACTGTTGATTCGGAGATGTCCGGCTGTTCTTGCATCAAGCGCGCGCATCTACATGTTCTTGAATCATGGCTGTTGATTCTAGAAGGAACCGGCAATGTTTATGCGTGAGCAACAATTTGACACACACACACGTATAATTATCACACTTGTTTATGCATGTATAGTAGCTAAATATTTTATTTTGCAAGATCCTCGATCGCGTCTTTGGATAAACAATTAATTTTGAGATTCGAATCACAGATTGATTAGATTGGACGATAAAAATGTTATATTACCTCTCGAGATTAATTCTCGAGGATAAACTTGTATTATTTCACTGAAATTGTGACAGCTGTCAAAATGTTCAAAGAGATTGCCGGTTTCCTTTAGAATAATTAAGCATGATGCATAGCTATCCATACACAATCTTAAAATGCTCCTTTGAAAAGCATCAACGGCGTCTGTAATATATTTTATCGTATTTGATTCAGTCGAGTATCATAAATATCGCAACTGCGTGGGACACGCAGATACGGACCACTGATACAAGACATGATTTAAAAAAATGAGAAAACAGATGTAACATATTTCAGTGTAATATTTACCAATTATCAGCGCATTAAAATAATCGTAAATATCCGTTAGAAAATTTAAAAAGAGAAGCAGTATAAGATAAAAATTTAAAATTCAATTATTTTGAATATTATTGGAAATTTATAACTGAATTATATATGTTCTGAAGGTTTCAATCGAAAAAAATCATGTCTTATATTTACAATTAATACAAGTGTTTATACATAAAAATGCGCATTTTCATAAATATATATGAGATTATGTATTTCAGATATATTATACGTTGGAGCTTTTTATAAATAAAACTACTATTTTAATTTCAACTTTTATTTCAATTTATTTATGATGCTGTTGTGATTGAGTTATTGGTCTAAAATTCGTTCTAAAGTTAACATGTGTGATCGCGCATTCGTTGATTTTTGAAAGAATCGACTAATCAAAACATCGACGAGATTATCTTTCTACATTTATTCGTTTTTTTAACAAAGTTGGAGTAAATAACTTTATTATCTTGTCATAAGCGGCTTGAGTTTATAATAAGTTGTTTCTATTTTCGTACTGAAATTTCTGGCAACAAGGTGAATACAATTTTACGTACGCATCAAAATAAATAAATAAATATCACTCAATAATAATAATTAATAAATATTAATAAATAAATAAATATTGATACGCATCAAAATAAATAAATAAATATCACTCATAATAATAATTAATAAATATTGATAAATAAATAAATATCGACAACAGATTAAACGGAATATCTTATCGACGAAATTCCAAGGCGAATAAATAATTCAATTTTCAGAAAGCAACATTTCATGCAAATTTTTCACATCATATTTACTATGAGAAATGTCGAGCACAATTGCGTCAGATATTGCGTCAGTAGTTAGAAACTATAATTTGGCACACAGAAAATCTGTTTTGGCAAGTGTGAACGTAAACCGTCTCTATCGATATAAATAAAAGGATTAAACGAAAACAATAGAGAGATAAGAATCTTTTGACTTTGAAATTAAAAATATTGTTTGATATAAAAAATTATACGTTCAATTAACAGATTAATTATGTGTCATTTAGTCTAATTACATAGTTCTCATAATGTTATTACGAGCATTGTGTTATGAAAAGTTTTTTTATATAATTATCTTTCATCTCATGAATCGTATTTACATAGAAAATTATCATAGCCAATGTATACACACATAGTGTTGACTTCCTTTATATAGAAAATGTCTCGAATGCTGTTGAGAGATAAATGAATAAAACTCGCATTTTCAAATTTTTATCAACATTGAACGCAATCTTATCTTATACTGCGCATCGTTTCTGAGTCTAAAAGCCATCCAGTGAAATAAACATTTAAACATTTGTGTTTCAATAGTAAAACGAAAAGTCAAACTACAAATGCAGGCAGCCTTGCCGAAACTTGATCACTTTATCAAATCCGGAAAAAGAGAGGCGGACAGAAGTTTCACTTGTGAACTTGTTTGATTTTCCGTGACTCCTGTGTCGAGAGTTGTATCTCCGGAGAGAGCGTGCGACAAGATTCCAGCAGAGATGATCGCGTCTCTCCTCTTCGCGCGTGATCCGCCTCTCTGCAGGTGTTAGATTCTGCGAAAGGTTGAGATCAATATGCGCTCATTGATTGCACCGTGGCTGCGCTGCTGTGTCGACCTCGTCGGGCTCGTCCTCCTCGGTGCTAATCTGTGGTGAACGCGTTGGTCCGTATTTTCAGTCCGTGTGACATTGAAAGAACTGATCCAACTGATTAACTCTCTCTCTTTTTCTCTCGCTACTAGTTAAATGTGATTTCTAGGTCGTAGTAATATCTACATAATTGCTGATTATATACTGAAAGTGACAGACAGTTCAATTAATTATGACAAGCTTGTTAACTGACATCGGTAGAACTGGTCCTAAAAGTCGAGACGTATTGCGTAATTCTTGAATCTCTCAATACATTGTTTATCAGAAACCGAACAAGAGATTGCGTTATAATAGATTATAATTTTTGATAATATTATAACGTGTCGCATTTTTTATTGTAACTATAGGATGCAACAGATGCGCGAATTATTACGATGAAATTTATACGCGCGACTTTAAATTAAATTTCTCTATCAATTTTAATTATATTTGCAGAAAAATTACGCCTTTATAGAACATAATTTATGCAGTCAGATCCGAGTCAATTTTGCATAATAAGACTTGTTGACCAAAATCCCGGTTAACGAGCTCGATTATCATGTGGTGTTACGAGCTTGAATAGTTTACTAGTTCTAGGGGCTGTTATTTATATATCGTAACGAGAGGAACTTGCAGAGGTGCTTAGACGTGAGGAAAAGAATTACATCACGTGTAAACCTCTTTTTTCCTCTCTGATATGAGATAAAAAATTCATTTAAATTAGTACAATTTGCCGTCTAGTAACCTGGCTATAATTGCTAATTAATTTGATATAATTGTATATGAAAAAATATTTTTATATAAATTTTGCATTTATATTCTACACAAATATGTTGCATTAAATATTATATGTGTTGTGTAAAAATCTGTGAGATAATTTATACTTTTTGCTTCTTGATATTTCATGAGAAAAAAATTAAATTCTTTATAGTATTACTCACAAAGCATGCATAATTTAATAGTCACATTTTAAGATGAATATAGATCATATGCCTGGGCCAGAATTTATGTGTAGTATTTATGTTCATTCATGAAATCAATTTCTTTCATATGTGTACACGCATGATATCGAGCCTGATTATTCTTCTGGTTGAAACAAGCAAATACATGTACGCTAATAAAGATCGCTGGCTAGTTGCGTATAGATTCGTCGTATTCGTGCGACCAATCAAATTACGCAGCTATAAATAGAAACTGCTGTGTTTCTTTCTTTAATCTCTTCCTGCGCAGTGTCAAGACCGTGTATATCGTGTAGTTGCATACATTACTATTCATATGTTCTTCCTTCAATCTCACCTACATTTACAGGCATAAGATTATATAACATTAGACTAAAAAAGTATAATATGTTGGGGGATATATTAGAGTTTTTATATTATAAACTAATAATTATATTTAATACTTTTTAGATACATCAACGACGAAAGTTGCAAATTCCATCAAAAACATTTATTGTGAAAAAATATGTATATATATATATATATATATATGTACACATATTCATGTTATATCTTCAACACTACCTGATTGTTATTATGATGAAACAATCCCTTTACATTGAGCAGTGACTGTTTAATTCTAAGAATACTGTAGCTAAATGTACAAAATCGAGAAATAGATGTACAATTCTAAATTATCTCAGATAAATTTCTTTTACAAGTACATTTAACATTAAAGATGCGCAATTTTACAATATAGCTTTTGAAACATATATACTTTGTTGTATACATTCTCTTTATATATCGAGTTAGTTGCCTATATATTGTTTATTTTAAGCTAGAAATTGTCTTTTAAGAAAAAGAAAAAAAAAGAAATACTACTGATACTAAAACCATCAATGATTATTGTTACAATATTCTGCTATATAAATTACTTTCTATTTACTATACTAAATATTTATATTAAATTATATGCTATGAGATAATTCACGAGATTTTTTTCGAAATGTTATTGCTGTTACACTGTTAAAAATATAAGTTCTTATAAAATTGTTTTTTTAGTGTAAAGCTCGACAAATGTATAACTAATGAATAAAAGTTTATAAAAGCAGATTATCGTTATTTTTTCAATATGATCGTTTCCAAGTTATATGTGTAATATATAGGAAAATATGTTACGTTAAATTTGATTAAAAATATTAAATTGAGATAAAACATTCATAAAATTTCTTGAAACTATTATGAATGTGAAAGAAAAAAAAAACAGTATTTATTTTAAACTTTGTTGAAAAGTATAACAATTTGACTATTGTTTCTATTATGCTGCACAATTGCAAATAATATACTTAAAACTAAATTATAATTAAATTAAGATTATCAAAAATATGAAATTACGTACATACAATATATAAATGACTTAAGAAATATAATTAAGAAATATAATCTTTTACAATTATATATGTAGTCGATTGCGAAAATCGCGAAAGAAACTTTATTTGTGCAAAAACGTACGTAAAAATATTTCTATTTACATTTATTGATTTATATAAGATTATTTCTCTCTTATTGTACAAATTGTGATATATATATGGTATTAAAATATTACAAATGAATTCTAAATATGGCGAGGGAAATAAATATTATCAATTTTAAGTCCTCGCACTTTTAGTTAAACTTAAAAATAAATTTGAGAGACTGTTATTTCAATTCTTCTGCTGCCATATTTTCGCGAGTATTTAACATTATACTCAGAATACGATGTATTTAAACTGACAGATTTTATTACTAATAAATTTTTAATCCGAATCAATACATATTACTTACCACTCGTAACATCAGTCGCTGGCAGGCTTGTAATCGAATCCGAAAGAAAACGTTTGCGATTTTTTACGCATTGTGATGATGCTGTTCGTATCTCTATGTGATATACAGTGTTCGGGTTCTCGTTATTATTATTGCCATTTTGCTTTTTCGACGGTACTATAGCGTCCAAGGGTGCGCAGTTTTTTCGTTTTTGGCTATTAGCTACATCTTGCTTTAACGGGGCAACTGATGAACGTGTCTTGCGTGGTTGATAATCCGGCATCGCCTGCATTTTCTCAAGGGCGGTTCGTAGAGGCAACAAGCCAACAGCGAAGGGAATCTCGGTGTTGGATGGGTATGCATGCAAATCTACTTCGCTTCCCCAACAGTCTAATGTATCTGACATATCGCCCCATAAGGCGCGACTTATGCATTCGCATGTATTCGATTTTATGGACGAAACAGTAGATTGCTGATCCGACGTTATGAATTTCTCTGCATCAGCTTTTAATCTGTTATTAGTCTTCGATTTTCCTTCTTCTCTCGGTCTCGATTCTTCTTTCTCCTTATTACTGGCCACTGTATACGTAGGCTTATTATTTTTTTTCACCATTAATTTTGAATTACTCTTTCTGTTATTGGGATTCTTTCTGTTCGATTGTATTGAGCTTACGATTATGTTGTGATCTGGCACTTTGCGATCCTCCTTCCCTTTGCGTTTTGCTTTCGCACAAGGTTCTGTTCCATTGGGAGAATTACCTTTTTTGAACGGTTTTTCGATTCCCGCGAAAGTTGCAGAAGAAAGGCCATTGTTTACAGCTTCATCGCTTTCTTGTTGATTAAGTCGCGTGCTCCGTCTTAGAACTGGCTTTGTGCAATCCGTGTTGCTTGGAGTACTCAGTCGCTTATCGACCTCTTCCGAATTAATTCCTCTACATCCGATCACTGTATGCTGATCGCTTATAGTACCACCCACTATCGATTGTATACTCTCTGTGCTTAAGCTCAAGATATATTCGGCACTCTCCATATCTAAAGACGTTAATAGAGTAACTGGTAAATCATTAGCGGACGGTTCGTCTAGTAAATCTATGGAATCCGTAGAATATGGTGGAGTTGGCACTAAATTGCATTGCGTATATACAAGCTTATTGCGGACCTCGTCAACAGACTTGCGTCGTTTGGGTGTATAAACCTTGACGCATTTCCCTATTATGCTAGGAACATCTGTGCTACTTCCGGAACAGTGTTCCAAATCGCTTTCGACTTGTGGAAGGCAAGATTGCGATAGTGTAGAAATAGAGGTTTGATCACGTTCGTTTACACAAGAAAAATCACAGCATTGCTCATATAAGATAGGTTTTAAATCGTGACTATTACAGTACGTTTCGTCTCTATTGCTGCTCGTGCACCTTGTTTGTACTTCGTTTACCTTACTTACGTGCATAGATACAGTATTAGTAGTATCATTATGCATACTTATATCTACATCAGAGATTGAGAATGGAGTAACCACATCTTCTTTGTTGGCATCCATTGCATCTGATTCTTCATATAAAGTATGTTCTACATCATGCTCAGTGGCCTCAGTCATATCGTTTTCGAAAGATTGATTCTTAGTTGAGCTTACGTCGTTATTATTGTTACCAGTATAGATATTCTCGTCCATACTTAATAGTTTATCACATTTAACACAGACGTAATCATTTTCTATAAGCAAACCATTTGCAATTTTTAAATTACAATCTTCTTTCTGTTGCTTTAGACAATTTCCAAAATCGTCTAAAATCTTTTTCGAATCAATAATAGTATCAATCACAGATACCAATTTTTTAACCTGGAAAAAGATAGAGAGTAAATTAGTTTTATATACCATGAAATAATATTGTATGCATGAAATAATGTTGTATGCATTTATTAATTACTTAAATATATGTATAACAATTAATATATAAGTTACAGTTTATAGTTAAGTTACCTTAAAAATTTGTGCTGCAGTATATAAAGATGACAGATGCTGATGAGATATTGTAGTTTCTCCACAATACATAAATTCGACCATGGCCTTCAAAATTTCAAAGTCCAAGTCATGCAAAAGTATAATTGGTTCTTGTCCCAAGTCTTGCTGCAGTATTTCCTATAATATAAAACAGAATAAAAACATCTTAAAGACTATCGAAATGAGAATATGAGAGAATTAAGACAGTTGAAGAATATAGAAAAAATAGAAAAATGTTTATATATTCTTAGATATTATTTCAATATTTGTTTATTATGCTTAAAATGCAAATTGTCAAATATTATTTTATGTAACAATGATTTACTAAATTGCATTCACAAGATAATGATATCATGCAGGCAAGATGTTCTTATCTACCTTGTAATTTTAATATGAAAATAATAACTGCATTTTGAAAAGACAGCGACACCCGAGTGTACACACTTTACTACCCTTAAATCATATAAATTAGTTATTTAATACCTTTCTAAGAACTGTTCTTCAAAAGTCGCATGAAAAGTAAGCCCCGCAAAGTTGGTTTCTTCAAATGTTTGCTAAGAACTACTGAAATTCCGATATACAAGGCTTTGTTTAGTTTATATATTTTTTATATTATCCCTGCAAAATTGTTCTGCCATAAGTAAACTATACTTCCCACAATTTTGAGATAAAAATAAAAAATATCTTTTCCTTCTATTAGTTTATACTATATCAAACAGAAAGACTCAAAAGTTTTTTTTATAAATATGAAAAAAAATCATTAAAAAAATGTTTGGCAGACATTCTAGTAAAAAATGGATCAATGAGAGAGAGTTTTTGAGTTCAAAATAATTATCAGAAATTTTTGAAATGAAACATATAATGTGTTATATGTAATATATTATATATAAAATTTTTTTGCATTCTTTTTAAAATAAAGAATAGGAAAGAAATATTTTTAAACAAGAATCTTATTCTATTTAAAAAATCTTATTATATTAAAAGAATATAAGTATAAATATAAAGAAATAATTTGAAATTAACTATATTACCTTACTTCATTGAGCAAATAAAGTGTCCTTTTTATCAATAAATAATTCTAGATAAATAATATTAAATAATTTGAAAAGAAAATAGGACATTCTTAAAAGTTTATTTAATTAAATTTTAATAATACTGCTCAGTCATCAGCAGATCTGTAAGGAAAAGAGATGTAAATCGAAGTATTAATCAATAATGTATTTCTTCATAAACTTAATATAACATAATTTTCTGTAATGAGTGTCTGTAAATAAATTATTGTCATTGTGTCTGTGAAATATTTAAAAAATTTTTTCTCTTAAACATTATCTTTGCAATTATACATATTATAACTATATTTTTGTTAATATTATATCTCTTTCATAATATAATACTATTTTGTAAATTACGAGTAATTGAACATACTTTGGTAATTCTTAAATGATATATTTAATGATGGGGAAATGATAAAAGCAGGTTAAAATATATAATTTATAACCACACAAACATACACACACATACACACACAATTATCAAGCAAATATAAATCATAAATTATATACTCTAATTTCCATATTTAATTCAGAGAAACATTTAGGAAATAATTCCTTTTACTTAACTGTATCTAATTTAAGATATAAAATAGAGTGTATAAATACTAATGTACAATAAAAAAAATATTTATATTGCTTTGATAATAAAAATATATTATCGTTAGTTAAAACAGCAAATAATTTAAATACACAAATGAACCAATATAAGACAAGTTTTTTTAAACCATATATATGACATGATTATTTAACCAGAACAGATTAACAAAATGTGTGTACTTTATAATAGCAATTTTTATATATTTTATGTTATTATATATTTGCATATACATACCTCAAAGTATATACTATTCGAAGCTAAAACCAGCTTGTGAACACGTAGTTTTTGTTCATCGCAGATCAATGTGACATCGACTAGAGCCTGACGTGCCAATAGACCACTGAATCTCTCTGTAATATATCCCGCGTGGCCAGCCCACTGCAGGACACAATCCTTTGGTATTTCAACCATGGCTACTACAAAAGAAATGATGTTTATATATAAATTCATACAAAAGTGGTTTGTATTAAGAAATATCAGATTTCTACAATTTATTAATAATTTGTCAGAAGAAATTTGCATTTCAAAAAATATCTAAAAAACTATCAATAACATGTTATAATATAGATGAGAAAAGAAAATTCTCAACATTAAATTTGTTAAACAGTATGTATGCCTAAAATAAACTTTGATATAGAGGTAGACATCTTGTGTATGAAATGAATTGGAATAAAAGGCAAATTCTGGTTTTGCTAAATTTGACACTAAAAAAATCAAACATAAATACATGAAAGAAACAAGTCTATAATTTTTTTAATAAATTACTGAGTTTTTTTGCAACTCAAAATATCTCAACTTTAATTATTTGTTGCGTGAGTTTGTGCAAGTTATAAATTTATCACACCTGATTTTTTTTTTCTTTTTTTGCTAAGTCTATTAAATCTTAAATATGAGTTCTCTCACTAAATATTTGCTCAAATCAAGAATACAACATACTTTAAGAAGTGACAAGAAATATTCCAATAATAAGATTAATTGCAACTTCGATGCGAAATTTCCAGATCTTCGCAGCGGGATCGACTAAATTACGATCGCTCTGTTTAGCAATAGAAAGTACACGATAATCGGTGTAAAAATCCCTCTCTTCTCCGAAAGACAGTCGCTCGGGATCGAATTTGTCAGTCGCGGTCCCGAGCCGCTCGCGAACCTTCTCGCACTCACCGGCAGCGACGTGATCGTCGTTGACGTGCGCATCTGCGATCCGGAGGCAGCAGCGTCCCTTCCGCGGTCAGGCATAGATCGTAGAGGTGAGACGCGTTCGTTGTAACGTCGTTGGTGCGGACGCATACGGTCGCTCGATCGCCGGCAGTGATGTCGCGTGTCAGCCCGTATCCCGTCAAGATTCATGTAACGCCGGCGAGATCGTTGATTGGCAAAACCGACGGCCTTACACGACATTGGCCCCGCGATTTCACTTGCACCCCGATGATCGCGTCTGCCAAGAAAGCGCAGTATTATAAATGAGACGGGGAGCTCCGCGCATGCGCGGAATTCGAAGCGCCATGCGCCGACTGTCGGTAACCCGAATAGTGACTTCCTCGGTTACAACCGTCGGTAATTTACCGCCGGTAATTTGCTACCATGCGTTCGACGTTGTCTCTATTAACTCGTGAGAAGTCGCTCTATGTTTCAAATATGAAATTTTCGTCTCTGCTCTGTAATCGTGCAAACGAAATGTAAATTTTATGTTTTACGTACTTTGATTTCTCTCTCTTTTAGAATGCATACAAAGAAACGCGTGGTCTTCTTCTAATACATATGAGGTAATCATTTGTACATTTGATAAATTAATAACTGTACAGCGTTTCAAGATACATTGAATATAACTGAGTAATTAATACGAATAAATTATATATATATATATATATATATATATATATATATATATATATGTGTGTATATACGTGTAATATATGTTAAAGAGAGATCTGACATTATATTATATTAATTTTATTTATCGAAATAATTTTACAGTGAATCCTAACTAAATTACTTTTGATTTATGCGAGTGATGTTTCCGTACAATTTTTTTTACCTGAGAATAACACTTTGTGAACCATCTGTGTCGATGAAATAAATACATCACACGAGCAATATCGATTTTCATTAGTTTTACAAAAATAAAAATTAATATTTATAAAATGTAATACATTATTTTCAACCTGTACTTCTAATTTACTATATATCTAGAGCAATTTCCGATATCCTCTCGCCGCGTTTTAATTATGCCACCGTGTATCAGTCCTCCTCGCTCAGAAACACGATTCCCATATCGTGTTTGAGTTGACAATTGTTGCATAACTCACTATCAATTCGAATAAACATTAGATATAAGAATAAAATTATTGCGATGCTATTATCTATTTATCAAGCAAACTAAAAAGTACCGCTATCATGTTTAAAAAAAAAGGAGTAAGAAACGAGTTTCAGTGCAGCTGAAAAGATGTTGCTTACATGGGTTAAATATATCAAAATTCCGAATTTTCGAGTTCGTTCATTCACCCATGCTTCGCGAGTCTCATCGCTCAGCTGTTTAATCTGTCGTTGTAGGTACGATGGTCGTGGAGAGGATAAAGGTAGACGTCGCAGCCGCGATCGTCTCTAAGTCTTCCTTAGACAGGTTCTCCTTGAGCCAGGTGTCGATCACCGGCACGTTTTCCTCGTTCCACTTAATAGATTCCTGCTTAATGACCCTGAGCGCCTTCCTGATGATGGCGTCCGCCGACTCGAATTCATTCTGATGGTCCAGGTAAAGCTGGCTCACCATGTCGTAGCCCTCCTGCGTATTGAAGGACGACGTGGCAGAATTGATGATACCATTCCAGAGGTAAGTCTTATTCTGGAATCGCTCCTTCACGGCATACCAGTGTTCTTGTAGGAAATTAAACAGAGTCTTGTAGCCGGTTGCACCGCCGGTCAACATGCTGAAGATCAGTTGGATGTCCGCGTCCGTGAAGTTCTCGTTCTGATCCAACACAGCCACTTGCAGTAGCCTAAGATGCGACCGATCGATATCGCAGCAGATACGGAAACAAAGCGATATCATTTAATTTATTATCTTTATTCACTTACATTAGATGTGATAAAATTACTGTTCCTTCCTTCGTAAAAAATATTACGATCTCAAGTTGCCTTTTCCACTTAATTTCTCATTTAAAAATTTTAATTTTAAAATTATAAAACGCGTTGTCTTTAAAGCGCTTCAAATTTGTCGGAAACGACAGAACAAAAGAGGAACAATTCGAAATTTGCATTTAATTATCTTTTCGATTATTGTGAGAAATGAGTTGGAGAGAGTCAAGGCAGAAAATGGGGTAAGCGTAATTATAACTATACAGACCTTTCAATCTTATTCGCATCCTTCGGACACCCGGCAAGAGTCTTTAATAAGTAAGTGCGCTCGTTCTGTTTTCTCGCCAAGCTGGTCTTCGGGAAATTTATGACACGCTGCAATCCAAACTCCCATTCTTCGTTGGTGCCCCATTTAAACACCGGGCACAGGAATTTATTCGCGACCCTATAAAATATAATTCTCGTGCAAATGTTACACGTTTACTGATGAAACATCTGTAATTCTCGTTATTAAAAATAAAATTATTAAGATGAAACCTATTTAGTATGCGCATTACATTTTTTGAGTGAATTAATTAACACTTGTAAATATTTATACGTGTATGATATACTGACGGGTTTCCTTTGTCTGGTTCTTCATCGGTCAACCATTTGTTGAATTCGTCCCTAGCTTCCTTAACGCAAGGTTCATATCCAGCCCGGCAGAGGAAATTCTTCATAAGACCACGCATATGAGTTTTCCAGGAAGGTTCGTCCGGTTGCGGATTCTCGCCAAGTTCCAAATAAAGAGGCTTTATCAAGCTTTGGATATAAACCTGATTAAGTGTATTTTATTTAATTATTTATTTAATAAATAAATAACAAATTTTAATGAGATAATTTTGAAAACACTACATTTTATAGAACGAAAAATTTTTAAACAAGATGACAAAAAAGAAGAAAGAGTAGTGAAAAGAAAACTTAAATAATATTAATAATTCACTTTTCACTTATATAATATGTGCTAATTAATATTTACTAGATTTATTATATAGACGTTAATGTAAAATGTATGACATTAATTTGGATCGAGTAATCGACATTTAATATTGACTGCATCTGTTTCAAATTATGCTGCTTAATGCAGATATTTAATGGTAATTATATCTACTGCAAATTTTGCTTGTTAACGCTTTAACATTTCATTTTAATTAGGTCTAATTATGCCATTTACTAGTGATATTTAATATGAATTAAACCCATGTGTATTATTCGATTAAAGTTTACTCGCCTCGAATTTGAAATACACGTCCAGTCCCTCAATTCGCCGACCAATATGATGAATCATCGTAAACACCGGTTCCCAAACCACGTGGCTCTTTTCCTCTTTCAGGAAGAGAGTCATGTTCATTGCAATGCCAAAGCACAATTCGCCGGCATACGCCAAGTTCCATGCATCGTGCAGCAACTTCGCTCTCGTTAACGGAGGTATCTTTTCGCGATCTGGTCCTTGCAAATACTGCGATAACATCTTCCAATTGCAGGAGTCATAGTTCACCGGAAACATTCCTGCAAAGAGATCATTTTGTATGCTTTCTTGTAGCATGCATGAGATATTCGCGAGTATGTTGGGCTTGATCTGATAATCAATTTCTTTTCAATGTCTAACGATTTTTACATATAATATTCGAGTAACTATTGTAAAGATTTAATTATCTTTCGCTAAAATACAGAAATTGAATAGCTTGACATAATCGCATAAAATTCGAATTTTGAAAAAAATGGTTGTGAAAATTGAGGGCTGAAAATTAAATTTTTGCGAAAAAAATTGTTTTCTGAAAATATATTTGCCTACCTATTTCCTCGGGATTAACAATGATAAAATTATCTTTGGTAGTAAAGTCCAAGATAGTTAAATTCTTCGGCTCGTTCTCTTTTCTTAACCATACGATCGGTTTAGTATTGTGGAAATTTAGATTATTCTGAAACTGTATCACGATCGGGATGTCCCACTGATACGATACTTTTGCTGTCGATTGTGGCGGTATATCTCTCAGATAAACTTTCTGAAAATGTAAACAGAGTATTTCGAAAAAATAATAAATTGTTTTTATCTTATTTCGAGAAAAATTTAAATTGTGAGATTTTCATATATCTGTATAATATTATATTTTTATTTATTACACATATGCAGTAGTATATTATTTATATAAATGATTATGTCTAAGATAAGCATTAAAAAGTTAATAAATATTAATTAGAGATAAGATAAAAATTTAAAAATGTGCAATATGTCATATTTTTTAAGAAAGTCAAATACTTTTAAATTAAGCCAACAGATTTAAAGATTCTAGTGTTCACGAATAGTTAAATATATAGTTCACGAATTATATTAAAAATCTGGAATTATATATTTTACTGAATGAAACTCGTATATGTATCGTACTCGTATACTCGTATGCTCGTATGTCAATTACACGTGGAATTACATAATTTTTTGCAATCAATTTACATATTTCCATAAGAACAAGAGATTCACAAGTATTGCGTAACACGTGTTTACACTAGACACATCAGTCTTTGATTTTATTATTCTTTTCTTTAAAACTGCGGCTATTATAATGTATGCTATTTTAAGTATTAAAAATACTTGTTAATGCAAATGAAGAGTACTATGTAAATGTTCCTTAACAAATTTCAATTGTTGTTTTCTTTGCACATAAAAAAACAATATGTTCGTTTCAGGTAAAATTATGCATTTAATAATTGGTTTAATAATTGCAGTTATGCATATAATTTTACTATTATTTATTCTTATTGTTCTTTGTAATCATATGTTTTTCTAGCAAAGTCTTTACATATTTAAATTTCTTAAATAGCAACGTAATGTATATATAATGTATATATTATATATGTATATGCATGTTTGACATTTCACTTTCATATTTAGCATGATATTCTGGAGTCATTACTTCTTAGTTTCGCGTGTTTTTATTTGTTAATTCTTACTACTGAAGTACGTACATGTAATTTCCGCTGTCGAGAAATACTAATCGTGAATAAATACTCGTGGTCATTTTCGTTTTTATCCGTGCGAAAATCATACCTGCCTTCTCTCGCACGTCGCATGTCCTTGCGAGAAATAATGCTTTTGTCTAACTTACCTGGCTGAGATTGATTCTTCTAGTTTCGTAATCGCGAATGACCGTGACCAACGGCACTCGATCCCGGTTGATCCATGATGCGGCGATACCGTTGACAGTCAGACCTGGTGGCAAATTGTCCGTCTCGTTCGCCAAATCGTTCAAGTAAGTGAAAATATCGTTGGCGAAAAAGGTCCTGCGGTTCCTAAACATTAAAGAAGCAATTTCGCGATATGTAGAATCTGTGATTATTATAATTATCGATAAAAGTAGCCGAGAAGCAGTGATGGATAGTTTTTACAAATTTTAAGTGTTTGCATAATTTTTATCTATTTTTTCTTAGAAACTTAATTTATGCAAGAATTTATTTTATTCTTGAATATGTGTATTGTAGAAGTGATTCGTCTTTTTACATGAAAAATTTTATGTAAAAGTAGTTAATGAATTGTTAGAAGCTGCTTCCCGACTAATTAATGAAGGCAATTACTACTCTTTCGACTGATGATGGAAGAATTTTCTCACGCTCTCTCGGAACAGTTCGTGACCAAAAGTGTAATTAAACATTCGGAAAACCAACTCGGCTGCAAAATCCAAAAGAATGAATAATTAATTTCGAAAACTTACAATCGCCTGAATTTCATATTTCACTTGAACCATATTGAAGTACCTTTCAAATTACTTGAAATTACTTTCTTTTTTATTCTGTGTTAAAATATTCTCTCGAATATTACTCTCTCATAAATAATATTAATAATAATAATATTAATAAATTACATGTATTATTGGCCATTTATACAAATTGTCATATACAAATTCTAAATTATAGGGTAATTTATCTTGATTACCTTTTGTCCATGTTGCTTCGTGTCTAATTCCAGCTACTCTAGAGAAAGGTGCTGTCTGCGCAAATTCGTAATACAGAGAATACAATACTGTCATTGGCCATTTTCCTTCCATTTCATTTGGATTGAGCTATCAAGTGTGTTTAAAATTTATTTTATTTTTTGAAACTAATAATCATAATTTTATCATCAAACATAAAAGATAAATTTAATGCAATTATTCGTTAACATTCTTTAGACTCTATTTCTACAATAATAATATTTTTCTAACATAAATAGTCTTCCTAAATATTTTTAATTACATTGACATTGTTAGAATTAAGACTAAAATAAAAGAAAAATCAATAATCCAAACTCACATCAATTGTCGCCATAGATGCTAAGAACGAATTGAGAGCTTTATTAACTGGCGCATCATTTCGACGATACGGAGTGATAGTTTGACCGATCCATTGATAGAGAAGTTCATAGGCAGTGGTCCATACTAGAGGACTGCTGAGTTCACTTTCTCTGAAAGTAAATATTTATTTTATATATACACGTTAAAGATATAATATAACGCGATAAATTCTTACTTACTTGAAGAACATGAGACCCCAATTGTCAGACGCTTTAGAAGCGCTGTACATGGGAATGGCCATTACGTCCAATTTGGATAAACTAAAAGAACTGTTGAAATAATTTTGCAAATAATTAATGATCGTCACGACTTTATCAGGAACGTCAACCAGCCGCTCCATGAATTCCTTGCGGCCCCAAACTTTGACTTGCAATTTCCATCCGTCTATTTTGTTCACTTCTTTTAGAGGTTCAATGTATTCTAAATCTGATATTATGAGAGCTAATTGATTCGTCGACATTCTCGGTGTCTCTTCAAATTCTTCTTCAATTTTCGATTTCTCGGTCAACTCGCGTCGGGAGCTTCAGAGAAAAAAATATATATTAAAATGCATAATATCAGAGAACATATGACTTAATGTAAAATTTAAAATAATTTTTAGAATCCAATAGATATCAGTGGATGTCTAAAGATAATCGACTTTAGTAATATCGAAAGATTTAATTTTTTTTATCATACATACATCGACGGTGTGTTTGTGAGCGCCTTTAAACCTTTAGGATATAATACTTTCAATTTGAAAGTCGTTTTATAAGGAGGGTCATCCATACACGGTAGCATTTTCTGCGCGTTATCTAATTGTAAATAAGTGGCGATGAAGAGGCTGAAATAAAAAAAATAATAAACGATAAATTTTATTACTATTAAATTTTATTACTTTTTATTAAATTTGATAGTAATTTTATTACTAACTTTTTATTACTAATTTTATTAAATTTGATTTCTTTATCAATTATAATAACTTTATATCAAAATTTTAATTTTTTAAATATTATAAAACATCTCGAGATTATTTTAAACTTTTGTACCATTTGTGAAAAAATCACACATATACTGTTTTCTTAGAGAAATATTCGTAGCAGATCATTATTTAAAAATAGTTAAATTTAATGGATTGCATAATATGAACTTGTGTTATGCTTACTGTTCTCGGCCACCGGAATCCATATATCCGCTTTTGTAGAGGCCAGTAGTCTCATTGGTCGTGATATTTCCATAATACGTGATATCCACCTCACAGGCACTTCCATTCTTCAGCATTTGCTCCAAATGGATGATGTACCAGGATTTCTGTTTTTGTCGTTCTGTTCTTGCGATATTAACGCCCATCGGTACGCCTTTCTCCCTTTATCGCAAACAAGGACGATAAAAATTTTATTTTTCAAAATTACTATTATAAAAATTGCACTATAAATTATGAAAACTTGATTTCGTAAAAAAAAGCAAAAACTTTAACTTTGTCAAGTGTTTTACTCGCTTACGCTTCTTCAGGCGCTAGTTGAATCATCCTAATGTTGACCATCGAAATCTCTAGATTTTGATGAACGTTTAGAATTATTCTATCGCTGGTGTCTGACCAGGTGAGGTTGATCTTGACGCGACCGTTGAATCGATCGCTCTCGATGGAAGGTATCTCGATATCCAAATAATAGTTGGTTGGCGTAACTTCGTTTGGTAATCTATATTGGGGCATTTTCGAGTAGTAGACATCGTTTAGATCAATACTGCGTTTCTGTCGGCCCTACGATAAAACAATTTTTTTTAGTATTTATCGATTAATTTATCGTTGTTATATGATCGTTTTTAATTTACACTAACATCATAGACGCTTCGTGGAAAACCAGAAGGTATCGCCGACAGTAAGACGAGTCCTGCGAGCAATGTTGCCCACATCATGGTGAATTACAGAATGAACCTAGATGATGATATTTATGAAAAAGTTATTCAAATATATATTTATGACAAACACGGATATTATATTTTAATGTAAATTTGATATGGAATCAACTAAAGATTTCACACATATATATACACATACATAATGCAACAATGATCTAATTTATTTTGTTGAAGATCTCGGTAAAATTAATCTTATATTGTTGAGAATAATTTAGATTAAATTAGATTAGCATTGACATACTTGAAATAAATTGGATAGAGCGTGGTATCAATTAATAAAAGCACAACACTAGCTGAATTCATTTGTTTTAGAAATTCGAGAAAATTAATTTAAAAATTGTGTAAAAACTGAATTTCAATTTAATTCTAAAAAAAATAGCTATCACATTTTACATTAAGATCTATAATAATTTTAATAAAATTTTGCCAATCTTACAAATATATCGATTCTCTACAGGGAGGATTTTCACGGAAATTTATTGTTCTAATCAGTCCTGAATGCTTACGACGTTATCCTCGTGACAGGCGTGCACGCCTGAGAGACGCACAGGACGATCTGTCAGCGAGGCGCGACTACGGTTCGCTAAGAACCGACTTGGATGTCACTACGTCGCCGCGTCGGTTGACCTTGATACCCTCTTCAAGAAAAGACGGCTGCCCTGGGGAGGAGAATTTTAGACACGATAGAACCGTATGACAGCGTAGCCGCGTGCAAAATGTGTGTAGCTGCTTGAGTGCTTCCTCGTAATCTAACGGTCGTCAAAAAGTGACGAAAACACGCGGAAAAACGTATCACGTGGCCACGTATCAAGGAGTTGGATTCACTCGGATCCACTTAGGGCAAATCGGTGGATCGTCATCCAATTATTCAATCTAACGATCGCGGTCATCGTAGCCCTCTCTGAAGGGGAACCTTAATCGCGACGAGTCAATCCGGACGCAGCCAAGAGGCGACGACGTCAACGGCCAATCTACGATCGACCGTTGATGTCGATCAATGGGGGAATAAAATGCGTGTCTCGTATACCCGTCCAATGTCCCCAATGGACCTTGGCGCCATTGTGCTCCCCTTTAGATTCTCTGTGTGCCATGTGCGTCGCTGTGGACGGGAACACGTGCCGTCCATTTGCGTGCCCGGTGCTCCTGGTACCGATCCCGGACCAAGCCCAATATGCACTTGGACTATACCACAACACCCACATATTGCCTCAATTGAATTTGATGAGGTGTTTTGTTCGCGAGTTTCTCTCGAGCAATAACTAGATCACACTTCTAAGCTGCTCCACGCAATCGAGAACGCGACTGTTACGATTTCAAAATAGTGTTATCTATCTAATACTTATAGATTCTTTTTAGAGAAATAAATAGAAAGATTTGGAGAACGTTTTTCATCGAATGCCGCTATTGCAAATTGAAAATCCGGCAATTTAATTTTGTTATTTATAAAGAATTTGCAATCTCTTTTTTTCCTCTAATTCTAACTATGTTTTAGTTTGTCCAGATCAAGGAGAAAAAATTTGTCTTATTCTAAAGAGCAGTATTATTACGCAGGATTTCGTTCGACGTGTCGTAAAAAAAAAGGGAAGGCTGTAAAGCCCGCAAAAAAAGTTCTGATAGCAGGTCTAATCACGAATTATGGCAGAAGTGCATAAGGATAAGGAGTGGAACGAATGGTCGGGAATGACACGCGGTGCTGACGAACCAACAGCAAAGTGGGGGCACCCACGAGTGTTTCTCGGCCAACATCCGCACTGCAAGGTAGAGCAGTTAATTGCAGTTGTACCTGCGTTACCTGTACGCCGTCGCGATCGCGAATTCGTTTCCGCATCGCAAACATGTTCGCTTTTTAACAAATCACTCCTTCTCGTCAACATTTTCCTTTTTCAAGAATATTGCATTATCTCTTCAAGTTTGAAAGATGCGGCGAGGATCCGTCAGCAGTTGGCAGTCCTATGGACAGCGAAATTGTAAGTGATAATAACCGTTTTCGTCAGTCTTTGTTAATCCTATGGTTCACGTTGAGTAAAATAAAATCCAAGCCCTTTAAATTAAAAATAAGAATATTTTTTAATTCTCTCTCTCTCTCTCTTTTCTTAAAAAAACCTTTCCATCAAAAGCTTAAATCTAAAAAACATAATATTTTTAAAAAGAACGGCGTTTTCAAAATTAATCTGTTTGTTTAATTGTTTTTATTGAAAACGAATGCATGACGTATTAATAATTTCTGGTATCTAACTATTATCATTCCATATTGTTAATAAATACATCGTTGTTACTACAATTATTTTACTATTGCAGAATTGGTTATGTTCATCAGTTAGATATTATAAAATTATTAAAAAAAAATATCTTTCTTGCTTTTCATTAAAACAACTGTCTGTTTTAGATTCGTATTCGAGAATCGCTCTTAAAGAAAAGAATATTTAAATAAATCTGCTTGAATTTCGTTTTACCATCGACCTGCAAGTATCAAATTGCTTATATCGACGAATGCGTTCAGGCATGATTTATCAATTAATTTAAATCGCTGCGTCAAATCGTTGCAGTTATTCAATCTCCAATTACTTACAGTAGTTATAATCGCTGTTCCATTCGAGGCATCCTGCGAAATATGGTGCGAGAATTTGAGAGAATTTAGCTTTGCAATTTTCCACTGTTTTTATGTATGTAGTACACTTTTAGTTTTATATTTCCAATTAATCATATAAGATTTTCTCTCCAGAACTGATAAATGTTAACATCTTTAATGTGCAATTTAAAAAAAGCTTAATTCTTGTTATTTAAACTTAATTATTCAATTGAATGAACAATTTGGAAGTCGAATTCATATTGTGAATTTTGTATTATAGATATATAAGTTATTATCTAATAATTCAGTATTAACCATGCAAGCAAATTTATAGACGTTTTGTGAATAATTACAAAAACAAAAAAGTATCTCAGGATGTGATTTTTTAAAAATATGCATGCGCACGGAAGCGGTGTCACATCAATTTTGAGTACGTTGAAATTCCTCCAACTTAATTATGTTGCTTTTGATGTTATCTGCTTGTTGCGTTACGTGCATATCTGCAACTAGAAATTATTATTTTAGAATACTTGTGATTTTTTTCTCGTTAATATTGATTGTGTAAATATTGCCAATAGTTTTGTATAAAAAAAGTTTAATTATATAAAGATTAAAATTTAGTAATATTTTAGGGATAGAATGAAGCAACATAACAATCTGAATGGACGATATGAATATAAAATGTGTGTACTTGATTTATTCTCTTTAATTGATTCAGTTATTCTTGCATTAACAGTAAAGTATTATTTGAAATGTTATCAAAAAATTAATTAAAATTAATTCTTAAACGTTTGGTATCTAAGATTCTGAATCTCAATTATTATTCTTAGTAAATTTTTTTCTTCCAAACAAGATATTGACGTCTGTTTATGTGACAGTCATGTTTGCATGGTATAACAAGGAGTATGATTTAATCATTTTTCATAAAGATTGTTGAGACAAGATATAATAGAATTAACGAGCAAACTAACCAGAATAAGAATATCGTCAGTCGTAATAGATCTGCGGACAGTTATAATTTCCAATGATAGATTGTTAAAAAATAACTTAATATTTTAGCATCTTGCGGTACACTCCATTCGTTCTGATTAATAATAATATAATGTAATATTTTGAAAATAAAATCTTTTCTATACATACATTTTCAGTTTTATCTATAATAAAATATACTATCTTAAATCAACTACATAGAAATAACATATTTTTTTAAATTTTTGTTTGAAATTTTTCTTCTTTGAATTTTTTTCTTTGAAATTCTTTGAAATTTTTTTTCATAAATTTATTTTTTGATTCTTGATTATTGCAATTTTATAGCGTTTGATGAAATGCAATACATATAACATTTTTTAGTAATATGTACTTTATTATTTGTTATAAAGATTTCTCGTTAACTTGCTAAAATCAACGTAAAGTCGTGGCTAATGCCGATACGAGCGTTATCGGCAAGGCAACGATTATGCGAATGCTGGAGTTGATATATAGTCGGCACATAATGCACAAGGTAGGACCTTGAAGCCGTCTCTTGCCGCATTTACGAGCGTGCTCTGCGCGGGGCTATCGCGGATTCCTGCATCACGGGGAACCAATTTCGTTGACGTCATCCGTGCGCATTCCACGCTTTTAAAGCGTTGCACTATTAATGCGAAATTCGTCGCAGTGCGACGAATGAATTTGCGGATGATCATAATTTCTTCCGAAGCTTATGAAATCTCGAGTCGCGCTCGTCGTGAGTTCAGACTTGTCGATCGTCCATCATTATTTACAACCTTCCGATAATTTTCACAATCTCCGTAATTGTTTTATGATTCTATGATCTAATCGATCATACATGAAAATTGCTGGCACCGATTGTAGCAGCTTGTCGGATTTTTAATAGATACCTATTGAAATTGAAAAGTGCTGAAAGGAATTTAATATGTAAAAAAAAGAGAGAATTTTTTGATTCTTTAAAGTCAAACATTAATATTATGAAATTTTTTTTATATATATTTATATTGCTATAAATATCTTTTTATTTTTTTTCTATTTCTCTGAATTTTTTTCATATCATCTAACTCATTGTATTTCTCTTTTTCTATTAGACTTTTTAAAATTTTAATATTTTTCTTCATGAACCAGCATACAACTTGAAATTTTGTTTAATGTTTCAGTTTTTTAATTTTTAATACAAAAAGTTTCTCAAACAAAAGAAAATTTATAGCATAAGAATTTTTAATTTATTTTTTCCTTTTCAAGCAGAAGAATACTCGAATCCACTTGATTTTTTTAATCCTTTTAATTTATTCAAGAAAGGAACATATTTTTTATGTAATAAAAAGTTTTATTATTTAAGATCTTATTATAGCTGAGACATTTTCAATATCTATTATTTAAGATCTTATTATAGCTGATAGCTGAGACATTTTCAATGTGATAAATGGCCTAATTCATCGAAAGTATTGACAATATAAATATTTTATAGTCAATAAAAAAAGAACAATTGACATCATTATTGAATGCGACAATTTTTTTAAATCATGCATTTATTTTCAGCCGACTGTATGATGGAAACGTATTCCGGTAATACCGCGTTAGCTTCACCTACCGAAGAAATTACCCACCAACGGAAGGGCGGCTGGTTTTTAACGTACAAGAAACTCATTTCCTTTGTTGTCCTAATTGTAATTGCTGTAATCGTCGCGGGTATAATCGGGTGGAATATCGGCACGATGCCTAAAACAAGAGTAAGCGTAATCCGTTGTACTAAATGACACAAATTATTTACCATTGTCTTGACAATTTAGTATAATTGACGAGATATTTTTTATTGTATCATTTTTAAATATTTATATAATGTCGAAAAATAATCAAAAATTTTAAATGTGTAAAATAATATGAATTTTCTGATATTATATGACTTGAAATTAATTTCTCATACATTTAACACTAAAAGAGATTATTAATAAATATAAAAAATTAATATCTTTATATACAAAGAATCAATGATAGAATCAATAGAATTAGATCGATGAAAATAATCTTATTATCTGCAAATTTTGATTAATGTATCGAAATTATTTTGTAGATTCGCAGATTCAATATGAAATCTACCTTGAGCACTGATAATAATTTTTTCTCAATTTTCACGTGTTCTGTGTTAATTAGATATATGACCCATTAGAGCTGATTGAGGGTGAGACGGAGGAAGATGACATTATTGTCGTCTCGATATCGCCTTTTGTTCATCCCTTGAAATATGATCTCGAATTGACGCCACCAAGCGACGTCAACGCGACGTCGAATCTGAAAGGACGAGTCATTATCAAATTCCGCGTCGATGGCACACCATCCTTAAGCAAATTATCTCTCAATGCGAGGAACATCACGGCAACACGTTATAAGCTATCGCTCATAGAAGAGAACAATGCGCGAGCAAAAAGAAGACGTAGAAGACGCGTCGAAGATGACAATAAAGGCAATCAAACTATGGAATGGAAACCAGTGGACGCCGGTATTTCAGAGATATCTTCTATTATTAAAATTACCTTTTTATTTATTTCAATTATGTAATAGAAATATTAATTCGATTAATATATGAGAGAGATAAATTGCATGCTTATTAATTTCGCAAAAATAGTCATGTTAAAACTATATTCAATTTATTTTTCATATGTTTTGATTAATATTATTATATATTAAATAGTTATTCTTTTCTTTATAACTTTTTAATAAAGTGCAAAGATTATAAAGTGTATAAAGTGTGTAAAAATTGCTAAATGTCACAAATTAGAAACACGCTTGTTAAACCTTAATTTATATCACGAATATGACTCATACTTCCTTCCATTTATGTCATAATCTTCATTGCGAATATTATTAAGAGGAAACGGGTTAATGTACGTTAATAAAGCAACACATTTCTGGTAGCGAAATGTACGCGGTAAAATAATTAGCTCACAACAGCTGTGCCAATATCACGACATAATAACGTGTAGATGATTAATTACATAATAATTGCGATAAATTTTAAAATAAAAAAGAATTTACATTTTCATCGTTTTAAAAATTATGTATGTAATTAATCCGATTAAATATAGTTTCATCAGTCTGTAAAGAAATTTGTGCAAAAAATTATAATAGCCCGTAATAACGATTTAGATAAAAATTCGATGCTAGAATTTTCACATTTATCTAAGAAAAAATTACATGCAATCGATTGTCTAACCGGAGAATGATCTATTAACGCAGACAATGTTACCACAATGCCTCCTCTCTCCGTGACATCTGCTCAATTGGAAAATCAGGAAACAACGCGCGTAGATGTCTATCCTTCAGGAAACGTGACCTTCTTCGGCAATGAAACCTCTTCTTCGAAGAACGAGAGCACGTTCGTGACCGATGGACAATCTAGGGAATCCGCAAATACAACGATGTCTGAATCGACGACATCTGGACCAGGGACATTACCCACGGTAACTTTCAATAACAGAAGCGTAACCGAGGTAGTGATCCATCAATACGAGGAGGATGCTAATAACGGATTACATGTAATACATCCGGCCGTTGCCATAAGTCCGGGAACGTACAGCTTGGAGATCGATTATGAGATTATGCTTGACGGTAAGGCGATTTATTCGGCAAGCTTCGGCGAGTCTGGTGAAGAAAGGTGAGTTTTTCGCGATGATTATAGCAGAATCAATTAGCTTATACTCGCTAATTATACACTAAAATATTTTACTTTAAAAAAGATATAAATATTTCTTCAACTATTACTAATATGTATGTTCATTTTACATTTTACATATATATTTTGCTTTTTAAAAATTTAAAAAAGTGTCTGCTCTTTTAATCAATGAAAGATGTATCCATTTTTAAATTTTTAAATAATTTTATTTACATATTTTTTAATAGATCCTTGATCGGGACGCGATTGAAGCCTTTAGAAGCATCGCGTCTTCTGCCTGTTTTCGATGACGTGAAACTCAAGGCTGTCTTCTCGATGTCCATGGCACGTCCACACAGAGCGAGAGTCCTTTCAAACATGCCTCTCAATATCTCGAGAAGCACGTGCGTAATTCATATTGTGTTGATCACGCAGCTGTGTCAACGTTTACACACTTATTGTTAGAAAACTATATCAATTTGAAATAGAGTTAAACTGCTCAATAATTTCTTTTCAATAGTGTTTTGTCAAATAAAAATGTAGAACAGAAAATGTATGTAAAATAAAAATTAGAGAGGAGTCCGCAATTTTTATACAGTAATTTTTAAAAATATATTGTCAAATTTTTCATCAGAGTATTTCTTATTATGTATTGTTAGTTTTCTTTTTTTTCTTCTATAATAAAATGAAATGATCAATTTGCGATTTGCTCTTTTTAAGATTGGACAATCAGGAGATCGACACTTTCAATGATACCCCATTGTTGTCACCTTACAATCTGGCTTTCGTAATGGGTGAGATCGAATCGTTGAGCGAAACAATGGTGGGGTCCGAAAATAAAACGACGGTAACTTTCTGGGGCGATCCAAAGAAACGATCACGAGGGATATATCTTTATGACAAACTTGATCAAGTAGTTACACATTTAAACAACATGTTCTCGATGCCTTATCCGCTACCGAAATTAGATATCGTTGCATTACCACCACGGATCATTGATAACGCTGGAAGCTTGGGATTAATATCGATGAAGTAAGCAAGATCGCAATATTTTTTATTTGCAAGAATAATTTGATTAATTTACTATAATTTATTTAATTTATATTAATATTAAATATTAATATTAAATTTATTTTAATTTAATTTAATTTAAATTAATTTTGGAAAATTAAGATGTTTTGGCACGAATTGAAAAGATTATAAAATTTTATTTCTTGAATTATAATTTTAAACAAATTTGGAGACCAAATTTTAAATTGAGTAATCTTTGACATTACAAAGATATTTTAAAAAATCTGATAATGAAATAAAATTTTATATATTTATTTCAAAATTTAGTAAAAAATATTAAGATTATTTTTCAAGATTAAATAATTTAAAATTTCATATTTAAAAAAATGGGATCTAAATTGTAATTATACTGTTAAATTAATAAATTCGTCATATTCATACAATTATTCTATATTCGATATCATGCTGCACATCAAACTAAATTGTTTTCAAGGCAATCGCTCTTCTACGTCGCGGATCGATCTCCCATGGTCACGAAGACAGACGCGTTAAGCGCTCTGATAAGCTTGATAGAAGAACAATGGCTGGGCGGTGTTGTGAACATGAAGAACTGGTCGGACGTTTGGCTTCTAGAAGGCTCCATGATTCATTTGCGACATGCGATGATCGAAAAGGCACATAATTGGCACATAATATTTATAGTATATTTATATATTTGTGACATTTATTAACTTTAAATTTACACATATCAAAACGAAATATTTGAATATTGATTCTCATTCAAATTAATTTTATAGTTTCACAGATTTCTAAGATATTATAAACATACAAATTTTTATCTTCTTTATATGAAAAATTAAAATTTGCATGTAAAAATTAAAAATGTTAAAATTTTATTAGTTTTGTGTATTTTTAAAATTAATGTATCAACAAGGAAGGAAAAGTTGGACTAAAAATTAATCTACATTTGAGATTAAATAATATTCTATAGGGCAAATCTTTATTAATTCAAAATTAATTATTAATTTTATAGTCTAAAAGGCTAAAAGTGCTTTGCGCAAATTCGTAAATCTCGAAACGTATCAGCTTTATTAATTTTTAACTTAGCTGATTGCAAAGTTTACATATTTATAAAACTGAATTTTGAATCTTTTTATAGAAATGATTTAATTTAAACATTTATAATCATTATTTTAGATTAATTTATCTTTATTTTAGTTTATTTCCTTATAATTTCGGTATATATTCAGTTTCTTACGTTGTCAAAATAATCGACTCATCTCTGATTAGATGTGCCGATGAAAACAGCATCTTTTCTTGTCAAACAAAGGAAAGGATTCTCATGAGATTCTATTTTCAGATAGACTTGTCACTGGACTCCAATCATGCTTTCCTTGCCGACATTCAATGGGATGCCATGGAAGAAGATAGTTACAGCGTTTCAAGATCGTTGCAATCGAACGTCAATCCTGCTCATCTGGAGTTTTCAGACGACAATGCTCGACATGAGAAAGGTAAAAGTGTCTATCAAACTGATCTCTTCCTTGAATAACAATGCTATTACTTGCAAATATTTTCTCGATATATTGTTGTAAATATTATATTAATACTTTACTTTTAATATCAATTCGATATTGGTATTTGAAAATGCGGCAAGGAAATGACAATGTGATGTTTGCATAAATCAATAAATATATAATATTTAAATATTATACAAAACAAAACGATATGTTTACATTATTATGTATTTAAATATATTATATAATGTTGTTTGTGCAAATAACATTTATCTTTGGAAGTTATTCTGAGATCTTCGGTATATCTTTAGATGTAAACATAAATTTAAAAAATATACAATACGTTTTTCGTTTCTTATATTATATTCATAATTAAATTTGTTAAGTTAGCCTGTTTAAAAGTATGCAAAAACAACTTGTTAAATAGTTTTACTTTAAAGTATGAAATCTACACTCTCATCGAACGTTGCATAACATGATTCTGCATTCTGACTGCTTCTTGTAGGTGCATGCTTGATTCGCATGTTGCATGGCGTGATAAACGATACTGCCTTTAGGAACGGCTACCGGAAATTTATAGCGAGGTGGTGGGTATATATCACATTATCTCGTCGATTTTATCCTTTGATCGGCCGTCGTCGTCGGTTTATCAATCGCGCGCGATCCGCGCGTTTGAATCACTCGTGTGTCCGCGTGATTCAATCGAAATGATAATCAACGCGTTTTACAGCGAGTTATTCCGTCTGCTTTATGGTAATATCAGTCATTGAATGTCACGAGTTGTCGATCATTATCCTTCATGCTTCTTTATCGGACTCGTTACATAAGTGGATCCATCATCGATATGTTTCGTTGGCATTGAATTGTAAAATATATAATAATGATTCGCGAAATGTAACGTACAAAGGATGCATGATTATAATTTCATTTATAATGAAAAGTGGTGTTTCATTTTTCACTATAAATGTTTTATATAAACGTTGACACATTAAAATTTTTATAAATTAATATCCCTTTTAGGAGCTACTCGACAGCAAATGTCGATGATTTTTGGGAAGCGATGGCGGAAGAAACTGTTGGTTTACCCGCAGAAATTACTCTGTCCGAAATGATGAATTCATGGATCATGAATCATGGATATCCACTTGTTAGCGTTACGAGAGATTACAAGAAGGGCACAGCCGTTATTAGACAGGTACGATCTAAATAATGCATATGAAGCATGTACATTTGTTGCTAAGTATACTTCTCGAGATAAAATATTTTTATTACTCGATTATATTGTCGCGCAGCAAAGATTTACGTACGATCAATCGTCATCTGACACTCAACCAACGTGGTACATACCGCTTGACTATATTAACAAAACGAGGAATGATTGGTCATCTCCGACGAAGACGTGGTTATATTCCAAAGAGGAAATAGTGGTGCATGATGTTGGTGCTCAAGATTCTTGGGTCGTGTTCAATGTGAATAAAACAGGTTGGTTGCATAAATGTTTCTCTTGTGAAAGAAAGTCTATAAAAATTATAATATATAAATATATATTAAAATACCTCTTTTCATTAGAATTAAGAATGCCTTGTCCTTTTTTTTAATTACGAAATTTTATATTAAACTTTTTTATAGATAATAATTTAAAAATGTTAGTGTAATTGTGAAAATGTAATATAATTATAATTACAAATTTTTCCTTTTAAATTAATTTGTTAATAATGAGAAATAAGTAAAATTAATTAAACTTGTAGATATTTATAGATATATTTTTTTAATTAATTACTTTATTTAATTAATTTAGTTCCAATATGCTTTAACCTATTTCTGGCACTGTTTTTTCAACTTATATTTTTCTTCTTTCATTCTTTGATTCTATATATTAAAAGAGAATTTGTTGATCTTGCACATGACTGTTTTCCGCCACTCGTATGAAAAGGAACTTGACGAATTATATATTAATTTTAATATTCTCCAATTTATTGAGAAATTGCCTATTCTATAGCTATTAACGTTAACTGCTTTCAAGGTTATTACCGTGTACATTATGACGAGGAAAATTGGAAGCTCCTGGCGCAAGCCCTCGAGGAAGATCACGAGGTCTTTCCAGCAGAAACCAGAGCATCGCTCGTCGACGATGTTCTCGGGCTCGCCGCGGTCGGCTTGGCGAAATACTCGACCGCTTTCGACTTTATTAAATATATGCAAATGAAGGAACGACATTACGCTCCTTGGGGTGTCCTAATGCGTCATCTGTTGAAATTGAACGGTCTTCTTTATGAAACGTCAGGCTTCGGCGCCTTTCAGGTAATCTGTTCTTATATAGGAAAACATTCTAAAAGAATATATTTGCAGTTAGTCGTTAGCAAACTATTTACGATCAGGCGAATTTAGGAAGTTGTCAAGTTTGCAAAATACTCTATGAATATTTTGTTAAAAGTATACCCCAAAGTATGCTCCACATATATAAAGACAAAAAGATACAATGATAATAAAAAAATATCTTACGATGAAATATATTTTATAAGTATAATTCAACATGATAAGTGTTCGAAATTTAAGTTATTTAATTTAATTTACATGAAATTTTTTTTTATGGAAACTAATAATTTGATTAAAAATTATTAGTAATATTATTAGGATAGTAATATGATGGAATGGATAATTTGCAGGAGTTTACATTGAAATTCACATCAAAATTATATTCAGACGTGGGATGGAAGATTGATGAGGGATCTGGACTAACTTTGACTGCCCTAAAAATAGCATGCGCGTTCGAAAACGATGAGTGTCTCGAATGGTCCAAAAATCATTTTGCAAAACTAAAAGATCATTCCGATGCGGACGACGTGTAAGTTTAATGTAATAAAATGTTTAATGTTTTATTCGAAATATCCGTTCTTTGTGCAATCGTATTGTATATATTTCTCAAACAAAAGGCAACATGCGATCAACTTATGATTTTCGTATCAATTTTTTTCATAATTCCATTATTTGAACGGAATAAAATTCTGATTTCTATTAACATCTATATTAAAATTGCTTACGTTAGATCAAATAAAATATTAACTGTTTTATCCTATATGCAGCAATTAAAAGTTTCTAAAGATTAATATTAAATTATTTATATGATCGATACTATCGCGATGCATTCATGATTAACCAAATAGCTAAAATAGATAAAAAGAAAATGTGGAAGCGAAAAGTTTGTGATGACATCTTTGGAATAATTTCTATCTCTCTGAAGATATCGGCTAGACTTCGTGGCCCATTTCGGAGATAAAACTTTGATCGTTTCAGCGTTCCAGCGTACGCACGCGAAGTGCTGTATTGTACGATTGCGAGATATGGCACGCGAAACGAATGGAATTACTTCGTTGAAAGGGCAAATTCTACAGCAGATCAAGAAGAAAGAAATCGTCTTTTATCAGCGTTTGCGTGTTTCCAGACACCGTGGATTCTACAATCGTAAGCATGAATTGAAAATTGATAATAATATAGAATTGAAAAAACAATATGTAAATTTGTAAAATCAAAATTTTTTTTTTAAAATAAGTTTTACATATGCAGGAGAGATAGAATCAATTTTTTCAAATTATATTCTCTCCTTATTTAATTTAAAGAGGATTTTTTTCTAGAATTTTTCTGGAATTTTTTTGGAATTTTTCTAGAATTTTTCTGAATTATAATTTAACCTTTAGATTTAATATTGAAGATTTAAAAAAGGTTTAAGAAAGAGAAAATAAAATCTTTATCAAAAATAAAAATCTCAAATTGGTTAAAGAATACTTGGAAAAAGATAAACACTTTTCATATATTCAGCAGAAATATGCATACAATCTTTCTAATAAAAGATATTTTTGTATTCCTCACATATTTTCATTAATTAAGAAATTTATTTTGTAACTTTGAATTATGCAACAAAATTTAATTATAGAAAAATTCGAGATCAATCCTTCAAAAACAATATATGTTTGGACATGTATAAAAAGTGTGTTAATGATACTTGTTAAGACTACTTAGCGAGCTTCTCGAAGGGAAGATCTATAGCGAAGACGAGACACAAAGGATCTTAAGAAGTTTCCCGCAAAATCCAGTTGCCGCGCAACTCACTCTCAAGTTTGTGCGAAATAATTGGCAGACTCTTGTCAAGAGGTTTGTAACTTTCTTATCTTTCTGTCGAACTTATAAGCAGATTATAATATGTTCTCGTGTCTGTTTAGATTCTCGAAATCTCGACCGATCTTGAAAGCTTTCGCGATGGCAACGATGAACGGTTTAATGAGCAAGGAAGATCTCGATGACGTAAGTATCATCTAAGCAATAAACATTTTCGAGCATTACAAATTTCGATCTTTCAGTTTCAGACTTTCAGCGAGGATAATCTCGAGAGCATAAAAAACGTGGGATATACCATGGCGATGGTCGAGGCGCATGCTAATTTCGCGATAGAATGGTTGAAGGAATCCTTGCCGGAAGTGCAGGAGTGGCTAACAGCGAATAACGCCACAGAGGTACCCACGTGAATATTCGAGAAATATCGTTCCAGGTTGCAATAGGGATGAAGGAGACTCTATGTGTACGATTCTCGATTCACGATTTCGTACACGACGTGTGCCTGCGTGCGAAAAGAGAACTGTGAGGATTTTTCTACGACAACAAGTTTTATTTTTCCGTATGCTTTTGTCAAGCATGATTACAAAACCAAGCAACAAGAATCTCGTCCTTATATCGTTTAGCCTTAGAACGACGGTCGTTAGTATAATTAATGTTTGTAGGTACATATTTAACAAACGATATATATATATATATATATATATATATATATATATATATATGATAATCGTATCTCTAACGACGTGGTAATTATTATTCCAATATTTATCATAAACTCTTCTTCTTGCGCGCGTTTCCGCTTGTTAATGGCGCTCTATTGCTATACGGTACGCTCGTTTTATAACACGCTATATTATCGTTACAATAATCTATTCGTACCGTTGTCCTCGCTTTTCATTTTTAGTCTAACTCGTTAAATGCGTTAAGTACGGATATATATTCGCAAGCTATCAAACACGCGCGGCTTAAGGGTGGAAGCGATGATTTATCGTTTGATGGGGCTCGACCCGTCAGAGATTAATGCGGCCGATGTTTAATCGAGATCTTAAGCGCACGCAAAGCGCGCTATGTCGGCACTATTTTCGCATAGTGCATCGAAAGAGATCTCAAAATCGCACAATTATAACACCGATTTTATATACCTTGGCGATGCATCCAGCCCGCATCTCACTACGCTATTTAGCGCTAAATGCGATCCTTTACTTATTCCATATCTATCGGTATGGAGTACGCGATTTTACATAAATTATATTAATATATTTTATATTAATATAACGCATATTTAACGTTATGAACGACCGTCTGTTTCTCTTCTTTATATTAAATACATTTTTACGTTCTGCGAGAAATGTTTCAGAAATAAAGTCAAATATTAATCGTGTTTAACGTTAAATACCACTGGAAAACTTTTATTTCACATTTATATTAAACAGAAGAATCTCATGTTAAATGAGTAAATCTCAGCGCATTTGGCGCTAAATCCGCATTCATTCGTGCATCTGTGAATAAAAGTTTCTCGATATACACGACAATTTTGTCCAAAAGCACGTTTCTCTTCCGGAACAAATACGTTATACTCCAATCTTTTATTGAAGGGGTTATTTTTTTAAAGGAGGCACATGTATGTATTTTTAACAAAATGTGAATTGATTACGGACAGATATTTTCTCACACTATTAATATATCGAGCATGATTTATTGAAAGCGCGTTCTGTACTTTTTATCAAACCTTCGAAAAACGGATTTTCTGCACAACTCTCCCTTACAATATTAGTTATGAAATATTCCACTTGTTATTAATGCATGTAAAGGCTATCCTTTATTTTCGATTCAAGGCATACGTTGTTTTATTTCAATGAATAACCCCTTCAACCAATCGCTTGAAAAAGTTTTCGATCGTTTATTGTCTTCATACAATTCACTCAATTTTATCAAACGCATTATTACATCAATGTCGCGTGTGAGCGCATTATCGACATTTTCAAACGATCGCATATACACATCGGCATGATGGAATATAGATGTTAGGATATTGTGCGCGACGAAAAAACGCTATTTCATCAAATTTTGCGTTTTTTAAATTTCGTATTCGTTTCAAACGCGTCACGTTAAAAAGATCCGTTTCCGTTCATCATGTTTGGTCATGCCTTCCTGCGTAGAGCGTTATTTTTTTTTTTTTTTTATGGCTAATTCCGCTCGATGCATTTAATGCCGATATATCGTACAGTACTTTGTACTTCGGTATCGAGACTTCGATTCGCTCTTCTCATCGTGACCAAACGCTAATTAATGGAAGCTCGAAATTTCGATAATCCTGCGTCGAGAGCACCAATTGTGAAAACTGCTATCGGAAACGGAATGACTGGAAGAGATCGCGAAAACGTACGCTCCAAGCGCTATACCGCTTGTAAATTTTGTAAATCTAAATAATATAACTATCTATTTTTGACGAGATGTCGTTATGAAATAGTTGCCATGTTACAACGAGAGATTAACACAAAATTGCTCTCGTATGATAAAAATTATAGAAAATAAAAACGATATCTTTGTCTGTTAAATCTTTCTTCGTGATCCTTTCATCGAAGAGTGTCGTTTTATATTATCGATATTTGAATTGTTTTTTTCGTAATAAATTACTTCAATAAACTGCGCGAATACGCAAATGAATTATCTATGGCAATCGAAAAAATGTCTATATTTCTGTGCAAATTTTAAAGTATTTTTTTTTATCCAAACTTTGTCATTATTTTCTGGTAAAAAAAGTGCTGACAGCGTTTTAATTAAATAAAAATTAAATATATCTTTGTGTCTAAATAAGACATTAATATCAAAAATTGAAATGACATGCGTAGTTATCAAGATGTTACGATGTCGCTGTTAAAGAGTCCCATGAAATTTTTCGAAAGAATCTAATTATTTGAAAATTGTAAAAAAAGGCTCAATTATTATAGCCTTTACTTACTGTTATGTTTCGTTATTTACACGGTATATTTACATCTTAAAATTTATGCTGTTAATTATTTAAATTATTATTATTTAAATGTGCATACCACACACAAACGCTCTATCTTTCTCTCATTCTTTCATGTAATCTAAAATCATTCTAACGAATTTTTCGATTATATCGATGTGATTTTCGTAGTCGACGATTTGTAGATTTTTAATAGTACAACTTCATTGTTTCTCATTTCTGAATACAAAGTTAATCCTAAAGAAAATCTTAGAAAAATAATGAAAAAATTGATAAAATAATGCTAAAGAAGTTTGCTGTTTGCTAATAAGAATAGAGTGGAAGAAAATAATTGACAAAATTTATTTTGCGAAATTAAAATTTCCTCTTTTAATATATTAAACACACACAAATTACACACATGTAAATTATTTAACACTTAAATATCTTAGCGATATATTTAAAAAATCTTTTTTCAATATTTTTCTTTATGATTTAAAATTTCAATATTCCATATTTTATCAGACAACAATAAAGTGTTATCTCCACTATTATCTCAACATTTATTAAATTATTTAAATTTAACTATTATTATATGATAATATGATTTGACACATTTCTGAAAGATCAAAAAATGCAAAATAATTGCAAGCAGAAAATTAAGATTTAAGCAGAAAATTAAGATTCTTAAAGAATTATTAAAGAAGTTAAAAAAATAAATCAAGCTAAGAGTAGTTTTTCTTTATTGGAAACTAAAGTACCGGAAATGGTCTTTATATATTCTGGTATAATTAGCGATGCCGTCTTTGCAATAAAATCGCCGTCGACTCGAAAGTCACCTTATGCTGCGCTAAAGTCAAGTAACAAGTAAATTTATAGCTCTATCATAGAAAACGTGTGCGTTGTTTTCCTAACGACCTAGTGCGGAATAGATTTGTTTCGCTTTCTCGCTAGGAGAATTCGCTTCGAACATACTATTCTAAATGTACGTCTTTTTATTTCCTTCAAATCTAATGCGTTCGCTGGACGATTTTCAATCAGGTAGCGACTACGTGTATTCTCATTCTCGCACGTGACGTCGCTTGATAATATCCGGCATAAATTAATCGGGGCGTCGATCAAAAAGAAACAATCGTCCGAATTTCGAGAAGAAATTATCAGAAATTTTATTATCCGATCGATTTGCCCGATCAGCGATCGTACCAGGGACGACATATGCCGGAAATTGCCTTTTACCGATCGACGGCGATCCAAGTAACAGCTCCTAAAAACGCTCGTATAGTATCGACCTTGCGTTTTAATGGCAGTAGTGATGGGGAATCGTTATTCCTCGCCGTAATAACATATATATAAATATTTACAGTTCCAAGTACTATGGTATTGTACTTAGAATGCGCAATATTATTTTTTAATTACAACTAAGAGTTCTAAGAACGTCGGAGAATTGGGAATGCGAATTTCGATCGTCAATCGAAGGAGCAACTCGGCTCCTTCATGCTTGATCCATGTATGTAAATATCGGTGTGAAATAAAATGGTAGATTTATTTCGATTTATAACAGCCGATTATTTTTCTTCAATTCGACTTAATGGAAGCTTCAACGTAATTCTATTTAAATTAATGACACACGTACTCGATATTTTTATCAATTTAGTAGATTAGTTAATCACAAGGAATTTCATCCGAATTTCCCGAATACGCGGAAAATTGAAACAAAAGAGACAGCTTTGGACAAAGCTCCAAAATTCTCCGATGTTAAATTACATTCTCGCGAGTAACAATCCGCATGACGCGATTCGCGACTAACGATCGTTTAACCACAATGACGAGTATCATACATGACGCGTAACTGTCTATAAATGAAAACGGAATAAAAGGCGAAATTATGAATGACAACTCACAATGACAACAACCACGAACTACGGTATTGAACAACGGCGTCAACGGTCGTTCAATTCCCTACAACTATCAGCTTTAGAATTCGTATGCTTTACTTGTTCTTACCGTACTATCAGTTACTCTTTATTGTAGTATTCTCGCGTGTTTCACCCTTTTTCTCACATTACAAAATACAATATATATTCTTATTCTCGGGACGAGATAACACGAGATGCGTCGGCGACGCGAGTCCATCCGAGGTGCATCCTTCTTCGGAAGAGGGGAAGAAGTTGCAGAAAATAATGATAAATAATTGCACACACGTGAATAAATATCTTCAGATCGATAGAGGGGAAGAGAAACAGTGAGCGAGAGAATCAAGTTCGAGGGTAGCGTTCGTAGAGACATTGCTTATGGTACAATAATAATTCTGATAATATCAGAAGAGAGAGATTATGTCATAGTTGATTAAATATAATAATTAGGATATAGAAAGTCTCTCACATATATATTTGAGGAAGAAAAAAGTCGCTCCGCGCTACCGACGCGCCATCGGCTCGTCCATCGCTATATATATATTTTTTCAATATATATATATTGCTCGTATAAACGCGGGTACGTTTTTAAAATTATTAACTGGTTATATACTTCAAGTAAGATTACACCCTAGGTCTGTGTACGACAAACTAGCTACGCGGTGATTACCTAATTAACTCGCGTAATGCGAGCGCTTTACGGCCCGCATTACAATACAAAACGTACGCTTGCGAAACGCGGCGTTCGCTCGAGCAAAGAATCGTTCGCGCATTCGGATCGAATATACCGCGTACGCAGTGCGTGTATTATTTTCTCATCTCTTCGCCCGCTGCGTCGCGAAGCTCTTGCAAGCTCAAGTGTCAATAAATGTACCGCATCGCGCGGCAACAAAGTGTGGAATTATTCGGAGGACATTCGCGTTTTGATATAAAAAATATTCTACGTTCAAAGAAGAGAAATGCTCGCTATATCAGCACTACTTCTTCTTCTTCGCGCAAATGGTGTGCGTAAAATGCAGCCGCGATGCAATCGACGTTGCAACGTTATGCTAAAAAGCCGATCGTATAATACCGGATCCGTGTATTTCACCAGTTCTCAATATCGGCTGCGTCTCGCATTCTAGATTACAAATCTATAAAGTATGGATTGGAAAAAGATATTAATTAATCTCGCGGTTTAATTCACGGCCGGTTCCGAGCCCTACTCGAACGATACTTGACGCTTGCTCGCGCGCGTTTAGGCGAACGCTGGCGATGATTCGGTTCTCGCTCTTTCATTCTCGAGGCGTTAAAATTACTTACAGTGTTACATCGTAAAGTCCGTCTGATGTGTGTTAGGTTTACCCGATTAAGTAGTGGCAGCTTCGTATTACGATTTACTTGAGCAGACTATGTAGGTGTATGTAGGTCACTTGGCGAATCTCGCGCCGGTCAACGCGTCTTTAATATTTGGGAGGCATCGAGTGCAGTTTTTTTTTTCAAGCGACACGTCGTCGCCTCGAGTCCTCCTGTTTCAAAGTTTCGCAACGATGTTCATCGTCTTTCTTCTTGAGAGACGATGATTCTCATCCTTCTACCCACGAGATCGTCTCTACAAATTGATGACTCTCTATATTTCATTCTTCCAGGTTCTTTCTTTCTTTAAAGAAACGTAGTTCCAATTTATCGTCAAAATCGCCGGTCATATACTTCCGGTTCCTTTGTAAAATCGGAGCCCTTTTGCCGTAATTTCGTTGAGGATAAGGAGCTGGAGCTTGCGGACTCTCCTAAGACTAGGACGAGGGAGAGGGATCCGTGCTTCTGGTCCTTAATCTTTCTCTACGGTGCAGGGCTCGGGCATGGACTACTGGGGCGGACACTTCACCACCGTCGTGGTCGCGAACTCGCTAAACTTCTTGTCGATGGGCACTCGATCGTCGTACAAAGTGGGCGCTTGCAAGATGATACCAGCGGTGCCTACCAAGACCGCCAGGGTGAAAATCCAAAGAAATAGCCGATCCAGCACCATCGCTACGTATTTCCAGTCCTCTTTTACCTGAAAGGAGCATCGATCGTGATTCAATCCACTGTCGGCTACTAATGATGAAATTAAAATATTTTTAAATTTTAATCTAGATAATTTAAATACAATATCTCTCTTTCTACATGTTTAGATTTTATAAAATATTAATAAGAGGAATAAATAAATAAAAATTCCAATAAGATTTTTCATTAAAAGTAGTAGATCGTTTCATTTGCTTATTTTTATTTTTCTCTATTTATGTTTTATTTATTTCCTTATTTATTTTAATGATCTTATACCTTAGTCGAGTCTTCGAGCATTTTAGTGTGTTCGGCGATGAAACGCACGCAGATACAGGATCTGTGCACTTCCGGCGGGCAACGAGAGTGCGAGAAGACGGGCGGGCTTCGGAGTACTGGGCTTTTGACTTCCTCTATGCCTGCGTCTCCGGAAACCGAGAGATCCTCGCATTCGGTGTGCAATGGTAAAGGGGGACCGTGAATTAAGCAACTACCTCCGAATCTCGCACCGTCTGTAAGACTAAAGCAAACAAAGGGTGAATAATATTGTTGATATTATTCGTGTCCATTCATGCACACGTTTCTCCCAGTATTGTACAATATTTTTATTTAACATATCATGAGGAAAATAATAACTTATAATCTAATCTTAGCTTAAATTCATCATCATGGTTGGGAAAATAAATTGTAAAAAAATTATTTTAAAAAATACCTTAAATTTAGTGTAATTATATAATTAAATTAATTATGTAAATAATTATATAAATATAACTAATATTTATAATTATATAAATGTAATTATCATAATTATTCTAAAGATGTAATTATAGCTCTTTAGCAAAATATGTTAATGTTAGTCTAGAGAATGTCTGCAGAATAATATCAAGATCAAAGAGGTAATTACGAAGCGTTTCGTATTATCATAAATACCTGGAAGGCGAGAGGTCTTCCTTTGATGGAGGACGACTGTGGAATCTCTTGGGTGTGAGGTGCTCCTCGCTGTCTTCCTGAGTCGATGGATGATAAGGATAATAGCAGGTCTTTTCCTTTCCCCGGACGGTCCTCATTAGCACTCTACCGGAAGTATACCTGCAAACATAAACAATCGGGCGTGGAGAATTTTAATACAGGTGCGGCATGTTCTAAAAGCGACACTAATAATGACTGACTAATGCGATTATTGTTGAGACTAAACAAAATACAAGGCAAGCTCGTGCATTAAATACGTATATAATATTGATGTAATATTGATCTTTACGTAGCGAGACTCTTGAGTATTGATTTCTGTCGCTAGTACAAATTTAGATGCTTTAGAAATAATGCTTTTCGTCTGCATACTTTTTTGATCAAATTAAAATCGATTTATTCTTCGCGAAAATATGATATTTTTTTCTATATATTTGTAATTTCTCTAATATTAAATTTATTATAATAAAAATAAATAAATATATAATATATAAATATAATAAATAAATAATTCTAAAATTAAATTTTTTTAAATAATAAAGATAGAAGCAAAAAATATGATTTTTAATGATCTAAAATTAAAAATTTTTAAAAATAACTGAAGAAAGAAAAATAAAAAATTTCTTTATATTTTTTTGAACAATAAATTTTGAGCGTATTCTCTAATTATATTTGATACCTGTTAGCTTCAAATTTATATTGAGGTCTTCTCATGACTAGAAGTCGTGGAAGAATGTGTATAAAAACCCTCTTCACCCAAGGTGCCATTTTGTGCGTCTGTGGTGAACGGAAGTGAACGTTGAGAACGACTACCGTAACACATATACTGAAAAATATTAAGAAAAGGTCATTCAGTTAATATAAAGATATAAAAAAAGTATTATCAATAGATATCATTAAAAAATAAATATTAGTATATTATATTATTACAAGTTATTTTGTTATCTATATCTATATAACGCATATAAACAATATATTCAATAATAGATAACAATATATTCAATAATAGATCTGCAAATTATTGATTGTGTAAAGTTTTAGTAACAAATTTCGCTGAAAATGTATCATAATGTGTGAATATTACTACAATTCTAAACTCAAAATTAATTATTTTATATCCATTTTACATAGCAATGTAATTACAAACGACTGCGATCTACGAATTTTAGTGGAAACTTTAATTAAATTTTTAATAAGGACCATTTTATTACGATAAAGATTTTAATCTACTATAAGCCAGTAAAGAAGTTCTTACGCACGGCATACAGTCGTACACATAGTAACTACTGCTAACTAATTATAATCATATAAGCTCTTTATACTCGATGGCTTTATTATTTTAATAGAAATTGCTAATTTCTGCTGAAAGAAATATTATAAAAATATTTTTTAGGAAATAACATATTAATTTACGCTTTAGATTATCACATAAAAGTCGAGTATGTTTTTTTTCATTTTTAGATTTCTAAGATGTCAGAACTTTGAAAAAAATGTTGAATTCATTCGCGAGCTCATCTTGTCGAACGAAGGCAAATTGCCATAACGTATCACTAGAATTGGCATCGGAGACAGAACGGAATGTAAATCTCACAGGGTCATTCATAACGTAGATCCATTGAACGATTCGGGAGAAATCTTGCTGGCCGGTTGGGCAAAGGACAGACCGCGATTTAAATTGGATCCACTTCCTTTGACATGACTTGGAACCATTTATCGATTCAGACTACGTTGCCGCAGCGACGTAGGTCCTTGATCTCTGTTCGCTTTTTGTCATTCCTTGCGAGCTCGCGCGTTAGTCATTCCCGGACAGAATGCGCCATAATGTTCGCGTATTAGACGATTTGGTCCTCGAGACCATGTTCGCCTCTAAATGTGTAATCCCGAATGATAGGTACGTGATAAGAAAAATATTTTCGATAAAGCACGTAATGTACGTAATTTCAACTTTAATAAACTTTAAATATAAATCATTATTTAAGTTTAATTATAAATCATTATTTGAATATTATATATGTACATTTCTTATGTTTTATATAAAAATTATTTTTATATGATATGTAAAACATTAATTTGATTATCGTGTTATATATTTACGTTTTAGGCCAAAATTTTGTATTAATTTCGGTGCACTATATATTAAATAAGAAGATGAAATAATAAAGTTTCTTTTTTTAATGAAAAAATAACTAAAAAGATTATCAATGCGTGAGATTTTTCACACTCTTGTCAACGGAAATTTATAACATCGGACCAAAAAGAACGAAAAGATCCTCTTTGAAATTTTGATGAAAAAGGGGATTTGAGGCTATACAGGATGTGACAGAGATTACACTTTATCTCAACGATAAATTTCTTTGTAAACTTGGAATTCAATTTCTTTTAAAAATTTAATTTAAACGCACTTCTCTTTCTTGCAATTTGTAAATGTTTTATGTTATAATAAATTAAGATTCTAAAGCTCTGCTCGTTGAAAACAATTAAAAAAGTAATAATTTGTTATTTATTTCCTATTCGCACAAAATTCTTCGCGTTGAAATTATGTTACGATATTTTTTAAGTGATATTATTAACTCAATTAATTCAGTGACTTAAGAGCTATCAATATCAAAGCGGCATTTTTTTGTCAATTTATGGAATCAATATCACGGAATCACAAGAAGTACGTGACATCCGAGCTGTATGTTTCAGATTCGGCTTCACGGGTGGCTGGTGCCCACCCGTGGTGAACGCTGCTACTGATTAATGTGTCACACCTACTGCATCCTTGCAGCGTCCAAAGCTATTAGGAGGTTTCCACACACACGTACACACACATTTATACATATATGGGAAGACACGTGGCTCCCACTCAAACAACAGCCCGCATACTGTCGGCCCAATTCGCCAATTTGCTGACTCCTTCGTCTTCAAGGAGACTCATCGCTTCTCTCTTCGTTGGCCAAGTAGATCATCGATTTGTTCGATATGCACCTTAAAGCATGAGGCTATATCGCCCTTTGGAAACACGTTCAACCTCCTTCACGTCGATAATGGTTAATCGAGATTCTCTTTCAAGTTCCAAATCAGTGGCTTCAAACGTTTCGGTCATTCCCACGCGTTTTTCTCGTCGCGCTTAATTTTATTTTTATTTACTTATTTCAGAATGCGCGCAAGAGTAACTTTGTTTAAAAAGGATATTTAATGCATGAGAGAATTAATTCTATAAAGCTTATAAAATAGTATTAAAATTTTCTTTATCCTCTTTTTAAATTCTTGGAGATTCGTATTCTTAATTTAAAAAAAAAAGTTTATAATTCATGCAACAGAACACACAGAAATTACTGCAAAAGCTGCAGCGTTGAAAAAGACTTCGCTTTTATCAATGCGCATTCATCAAATCGGAATCTTCCTTAATGAGAAGGTCAAATATCAAATATTTTCTTGAAAATAATTTACAACGACTGCCGTATATAGTTATGCTTATTGTTACCGATTCTTTTCCCGTTTCTTTCTTTGATTCTTATTTTTTCAATAGTCTAAACTTGCCTCAGATAAGTAATCTTCATCTCGCGATCATTGTGGCTCGACTTGGCCGCGTAATCCAGAGAAATATTGCAAATTTGAGAGTTATCGGGGAGTAAAAAGCCTTTCGCTGTTCCAAGGCACTCGCGGACGTGGAATGAATCATGAAATCAGAGGACGATCCTCTACTTCTTTACCGATTTTCCGAGAAAAGGACCATTAGATCTCGGATGCGCGTAGTCTATTGCTCGCATTTGCCCGTGTATATCTAACAATAAGAAGAAGAGCAAGAAATATATGCTCTTCCACTCGTATAACGTGCAAACTGACGGGTTTTTTTTACAAGTGACATATCGTTTAAAGCCAATAATTTCTATAACGCGCACTTTGTCAAAAATATTTCCCTTGAGATAAAATAAAATGTATTAAAAAATTCGATCCTAAAGGGGAGCATATCTTAAAGAAGATAGCACTTTTACTGTAAAAAGTTTCATCTGCTTTATGCACAAAGCTCCAAGGAAAATAATGTCGCGTGATTTTTTGACGAAACGCAAGCACGTCGAAGAAAATGCTTTCAATCCTCGCTATGAATCGACCGCGTCATGCTCGAGAAACGACGTCGTACAAATTTGCTTCATCATCGTTGGCCATCAGTCATGAAGAAAGAAATGTTACGCAGGATGATAGCAAGGTTCTGGAAAAGCTTTATAAAAAATGTAGCATGAGGGATGGATAAAGAAAGTGCGCGAGAAACGCGAAGGTTTAGGAAAATGGATGCGACAGAAAAAGCGTGGTGGTTGAGACGAAGAGCAAGGATAAGAGCGACGACAGTAATTGCGATACATCAAAGTTATCATATCATTATTTATAACTATTGCGTATTTTCAACAATTTGACAAGACAAAAGAAAAGGCAGACAAATGAGAAAAATTATTTCTCCGAGAGAAGATGTTTATTCTCAAAGGAACAACGAACGAGGATGTTAACTGCGAAGCTATAATAGGGTCCAAAGCCAGGTCGAGCTAAGCAGGATATAACCTACATCCGGATGATGCATTACCTCGGTACATTTTCGCGTTTTCTTCGTTGCTCTCTCGAGCTTTTCGCTCTTTCGGCGAATCGAAATATTTCTTCCCGGGCCGTCCTCGTGGGCTTGACCCACTTCGCGTACGTACCGTTTTGCGACCGTTCATCTTCGGGGTGGCGACCGCATGAATCCTAATCACGTTCGAAAAAGTCGTTCACGTATCTCAAGCACGTAAACCGGCGAGTGACCGGAAGAGAGGAATTCTATGGCGTCTCGCCTGATCGAAGTGCAACGGTGAGTTTCTACGGCCCGTGAGATGACTCTCAACAAAGTTTCCGGAAAAAGAAAAAGAGGAGAAGAAGATAGATAAGTTGTCGCGTGTACTTTGTTTTTTTTTCCCACTCGTTAACTTTGTTATATCCCGCCAGAAGATGCGAAAGAGCGATTAAAGTTACCGCTATCGGGGCCGAGCACCTTGAGACTCATGGTGCACTTTGTAAACTATATTGTTCGTTGTGCTAATGCAAGAAAAAGATGATCTCTTGGAACTTCTTACTAAAGAACGCAAATTGCGATGATAATATAATATAATACATGGAATACATATTATACATATAAATATATAATATACATATAAAAAAACATGTAGAAAATAAAATGCATATAAACTAATTTGCATGTAATTTCTGTAGAAATAATTTCAAAAAGTCAGAAAAAAGTAGCATCGTTTGGCGAGCAAAATATTAATTAAAGAAATTTTTAAACCACATATTTTTCAGTTCTCATGTACACATTAATTAATTAAAATAATTAATTAATTTAAAGACTTTCATTAGTATATTTTTCAATTTAAGATCTGATGTATAAATGCAAAAAGCAATCTTTGAAATAATCAATTTTATAGAAGTATACATCTCGAAGAGTGTATATATATATATATATATATATATATATATATATATATATATATATTAGCAGAACATTTATGAAGATTTATAATATTATGTAAATCCAGTCAAGTAGAATTAACTTTCTAACACATTACTATAGAAGTTAAATTATTCATTTAGTATTTAAATTAAACTTAAGTTATTAGGTACGACTTCTCTCTCTTTCTCTTTCTCTCTTATTAGCGATATAAACGTGGTTCTACACAAAAGTTTAATTAAAGTTTCGAAACATGTACAAGAGAGAATGCTGTCCGTTTGAATCGAATGATTATTACATCGCGAGACTGCAGTGAACCGAATTCTATTTCTGGATAGAATCTCAACCAGCGATGTAAGGAGTGCCCGTAT